ACTGCAACAGTAACTATCTGTCGTGCCGTTCGCACTGCTTTAAATTCACATCGCATTATGTTATGTAAAATATACGATAGTGAGCACAATAACGAAACAAATTTAAGTGCAGATCCCTTAGGAGACCATAAGGAATTAAGTTAATGCGGTTACAGCACCAGATTACAGATGCGAAATGAGAAATGGAAAATGTTGGCAGAAATAAATGTTAGTGGTAGGGGTCCAGAGAATAAATGTTTGTAGATGAAGGAGTGAATTTTGGCTTATTTAGTTTTATTTCTTAAAATATTATTTTTCTTTTTGTACTTGGGGGTTTTTAATTTAATGAAAATTATATGATATATTTATAATATTTCTTTATCTTAAATCAGGCACTTACCATTTCTGACATTAATATTTAAATTGGAAGCATTTTTCCGGGGAAGTTTAAGAAGTTCTGGCCAAACCCCTTGGCTCTCTATTCGTATTTTGGGCTGGGCCCTGGCGGCCTGTCTCTTTTGTTAAAAGTTTTATCTAATTCCTTTGCGAAAACTCCGTGTTTACGTCCTATGTCGTGTCATCCCCGTGTCCTTCAACGTTTGCAGACTTCAGGGGCTGCTGATGCTTCTGTATCTTCTGCTCCTGTCTGTTTTTCCTGCTCCTGCTGCCAGCTCCCTGATGTTGATAAATTTCACGCCCTGTAGGAGACGCAGCCAGAATGTTCTCCTGCTCAAATTACTTTGACTGCAGTCGGTGGAGAATCGGAAGGGAAGCGGCGCCCGGCAATGGTTGAATGAAAGGCTAAAAAGGATTTCAGGAATTTCAACTCCTATGTATGTGTATGTGTATGTGTTTTGAATGCGGGAATATCCAGCTGGCTATGTACACGCGTGGCTCCTTTCTAGCCTTCCCTTCCGCTGCCCCTCAGTATGTGTAAGACTCAGCCAAATATACACATAAATAACCTCAAACAAGGACGTTCGGTAAGAAACTTTTGCCAGGACAATGATAGGGTGACTTGCGGGGTGGAGGTCCATCCGACCGATGATGCACTGCACGTGGACAAATGAGTTTCCATGTTATGATATTCAGGTTCGATCCTTTCCCTCGTTTTAATGAGTATAGAGTAAAGATCAATTTAAATTTAATGAAACTTCCAAAATTAGATATGTATGTGTACAGTGCCACACACTTTAAACGAGCGCATAGGGATTTCTATGGCACAAATGATAAAATTAGTTGTATTAAAATTAGTTCTCTGACATAAGAAACAACTTTAAATTTGTATCAATAAATCCAATATAGTGGAAAAACATGAATTCTTAGTCGTATATACACACCAGGTTTTTGTCTCTCTGCACCAAAGACTCGGGCATTTACTGCGACGACTTCTTTGCCATGTATTACATAAGCTGTTCAGCACATACAGATGCTCTGGAAACATGGCAGTAATGCAATTTACAGACGCCCAAAAATGTCCACCCACCTTGCGGCTGTGGTTGTTCAATGGGTGGGTCTGGGCGGCAACGTTACTTGGACTGGCCACAAGTTCGTCTCCCCAAAACCCGCAAGCCCCCAGCCACCCACTTCCCATCCCTCCTGGGCGCAACAAATGTTGCTCAGTAATGTTGTTATTGCTGGTGGGACTGTCGTTGTCGCTGTCGTTGTTTTGGTTGCTGTGGCCCTGCAATTTCCTGAACCGGGCGCACTTTTAGCTGAATTGATTTTTCCGATGGCCTCAACTGCGCATGCCGGGCAATCGTTGCTTCTCCTCAACTCTTCCCAGTCCCTCTTTCTACGATGAATTGCATTTCTCCCTAGCTACACACGCCTAGATGTGCTTTTACATACAGTGGCCACTGTAGTACGTTAATATATAACTCAAAGAGCCATAAAAAAAATAAATTAAATGTTTAACTGTTGTTCTACAAAATCAAAGAATTAATTTCGTTTAAAATAATGTACATTTTTTAAAATAGTTTCCAAAAATCCTGGCTTTGACATAAATAAATTAAATTTTCCACTAATCTAGTGAGGACTGTACCCCGTTTATGTGCCACCCGCCTGAGTCATGCCCCACGCCACATGCACCATAGCCACTTGGTCTGGCACGTCCTCTGCTGCAGCTGCTGTTGCTGCCACTGCAGTCGAATCCTCTGCCTCTGTCGCTGCCAGCCAAAAGCTGTGACCTGGGCAGAGAGCTGGAAGTTGCAGCATACACCTCCACCCCTTCCCACCCATAGTACGTTTATATAATAGACACACATATATGGCAAAGTGCTTCTGCTTACTGGCTGTTCTATATGACCATATTTTAAGTGCTGCTGCTTAAAGCTCTTAATGCGGCTTTAAAAAACTTCGTTCTGCCAGCCTCAGAGGGCTTGGGATCAGGCTAGGATGGCTTCAATTCATCAGCCTGGGCATTACGTGGGGGCTGGAAATGTGAGTTGGCTTGGGAAATTTACGATTGCTGATTACAGTGTTTCTCTGCAGGCTTCTGAAGTCTGAGATAACAATAGGATTTTGGATAACAGATTTTCTGAGACAAAATTAATTATAAATTATTGATTTTTTTCGATTAGTTCGGTAAAACTTTCGTATGAATGCTTTGCCGGAAAAGACATTCTTGTATAAAGCCTTTTTTTTTTTAAATTATTGAGAATTTAATAAATTGGAAAAATCATCATTATCACGCCTCAGAAAATCAACCAACTAATGTTCAACTAATGGCTTCGCCTCAAAAGCTTTGAACATAAGTCAAATTGGGGGACTGCAACACAAAAATAGTTTAGTGTGCTTTCTCAGAACTCGTTGACAAATGCTGTCACACAAGTCGGATGAGTTTAAGAACCCTTTATATATAATTACAAATGCTGCTGTTATCACTGTTATTACAGTCGCTAAAGGTTTCTTATGGCATCCCCGAACCCAGTTTCGAAAAAGGGGCAGAACGGGTGAGGCTCCTTATCTACAAAACAGATTAGCACACAGACGCCGTCGACCACGTTCGATCCGGTAGATGATCTCGTATTTATATTTGCTCGTGGCCCTGAGGCTGTACACTCATTATCTGTGCCATTGATCGCGTTCGTAAGCCCCAATTCTAAACCGATCTAGGAAAATCCCCCTCCGATATGGACACTTCATACATATCCTTTAGCTCCTATTTTCTATAAATTCAAAGCATTTTTACTATTGAAATTTTCCAACACTGCGTTACGCGCTTTGCTTATTAAAAATGCAAAATTCATTCATTAGTTGTATTTGCTTTTAGGAGTTTTCAGTTGTATTTACTTGGGCAATTGATATCTTTAAAAAAAAAAATCGATTTTGTTCGCTTAAATACGCCTCAACAATGGACGCATAAGTAAAACAACAACGTTTAGCAAAGGTCGCGCCTGTTTCTCCTATTCATTTTTCAGGACGCGAAGACAAATGCTGAGCTGAACCAACCCTCTATACAAAAGTCGTTCTATGGAATGAGTTGTGCCTTTTCTGCCTAAATTTATCTGGGGGTTGGTTTCTGCGTCTTTAATGGCCTTGTGAAACTCAGGTAGAAGAATCGCTTCATTCTACCTGGATTCCGTCTCTTTCGCACTAGCAGACTAAAAGTTGCGTTGGCCTGAAAGTGGAGTTATAATCATAGTTTTCATCAAGCAGTCGTACTGGAAGCGTAGAAACAAACTACTTCTTAGTTTTTTTAAACTTTAGGTGTGTAAAAATCGAAGTTAAGTGCTTAGATATATTTCATTTATGTATTTCAGAGAGGTAAGACCAACTTTAGTAATTTAAATATTTGAATTCATTGGTTGACTCCTGTTACTAATGTTCGTTTGTAGCAATAAATTAAAATACCTAATATTTTATATTTATTTATTATAAATAAAGATAAATAGTAGTAGAGCCTCTACTCAGGCTAGTGTGAATATACCATCCGACACAAAGAGGAATTTTAGTCCTGGAAAAACCAAGTGTTGAATTCGACACGAATTCTACATGACTGCCTTACGGTGCTACGTTATGGTTTCGTCTGCTTACGTTACGTGCCCCGCTTACGGTACGTGAGTACCAGACTGTCTGGTCTGGCAGCACTACACGCGAATATCGGCACAAAACGAAATCGCGGTGGCCAGCGAACAACGGGCAGAAGCAGACGAGAATTATTAAAAAGAGCGAGTTTCGACGACCAAGAACGTAAAGCAGTTTTAAGCCGTGCAAAAGTGAAGGAATTATACCAATTTCAACAAAAAAGAACCGGTTTGGGTTTAAAATATAGCAACAAAAGCGCTCTCTCGGTCCCGGCTTTTTCTGAGTCTGTATTGGTGCCCCTTCGTGGCAGTGTGCGTGTGTCGAGTTATTTGTTTGTGCGTGTGTGTTGCCGCGTAAACAGTCGCACGTCGGTTTATTTGGCGCCCGTTTATTTATTTGGCCGGGTGAAATTTTTCTCAAGTACTGATCCACCTTACTGCCAATAAATCGGGAGCGGTAGCTACAAAAAGCCATAAGTTCGGTTCAACTATTCCCAATGATAGGCCCAAGTGGTGGGGCGCCCGTTCCTGGGGCTGTGAAATTAATCCGCGATTACCTTACTTCGACAACGATTTTCCTAGTGAAAACCGAGAAATAATATTATGCGGAGGTGGGTTTATATTTTGGAAAAGTGTTTAGCACAACAGGCCTGACTTCATACAAGTCAAACAAAATTGTTCATATAACTGCGACATTCAATAATGGCAACCCTAAAGCAAAAAAAGAGAAATACATACATACATATGTCGGTAAATTTGTACCCTATAAGTGTCCTATTTGAAGAAGAAATAATGGTCCATGAAAAAAATAAGTATGGTAACAGTAACAGACATACATACATACGTACAACATAAATATATATACATATAAGCTACGCTAACTTGAGTTTTAGTCTATATTTCTACTTCGAAAATATAAGATATAGTTAATGAATTAAAGCAACTGGTTACTTTCCTAACTTGAATCTGAAAATTTCTTGTCTCTTGTTTTAGGTCTACAGAGGAACCACCGACAAACAGCTTCGAAAGGAACTACTACGACCGCACCAGCAGCCGCTTAGTCAGTCAATATCAGACGAGCAATTCCGCCTCCTTGGCCAATTCAAACTCAATCTCCAGTCCCTCGTCCGTGAGCGCCTCCGCGTCAGTGTCCGCATCGGCGGCAGGAGGATCCACCGAGAGATCGCGCAACCGAGATCGCCTGTACAGGAATGGTTCTGCCAGCGGTCACAGCGGCGGCATCAACAGCAGCGGCAACAGCAGCAACACGACGACGACGACAGCAGCCTGCACAGCTGGAGCTGGAGGATCTGGAACGGGGGGAGCTGGAGGATTGGTAGGATCAGGAGCTGGAGGAGTGCCGCAGGCGCTAGGCGACAGGAGCAGCAGCCACAATATCCACCAGAACCAGCAGAGCGCGCGGGTGGCACCACCACAGTCATGGTACGAAGCCGCCGCTGCTGCAACGACGGCCCAATTAAAAAGTCCTGGTGGCAGTGGCAATGCCGGCGCCTCAGCAGCCGGTGGCTTCACAATGAGCAGCTCACCGATCAACCATCAACAGCACCAGCACCCACATCTTCAGAATCCTCAACACCCGCACTACAGCAGCAGCACAGCGGCAGGAGCCGTAGGATCCTGTCCATCTCCCGCCCAAGGACAGTTACAGATCCAATCGCAGACCACGGCCGTGCATCGGAGCGTGGCTTATGCGGGGAGTGCTGCGGATGACTCGCCAACCACCGCCACCTCGCGCAAGATGCACCTTAACAGCAGCAAACTCAATAAGCTACTTAAGGGGGCAGGAGCAGGGGGCAGCGGAGGAGCACGCTCTGGTTCGGAATCGCCAGGAGGAGCTGGAGGAGCTACTCCATTGACGACGACAAGTACAATCACAAACAATAGTTTTAGTAGTAATAGTTTAAATAATACAATAACCACGGCAACTCCAACGATGCCCACGATAGTATCTGGAGCTGCAGGATCAGTAGGACTAGGATCTGGATCAGCAGCGGGAGCAGCTTCCAATCCCGGTTCCGGCTTAGCCAGCGGTGACATTTTAAATGTGGCCGCTGCTTTGGCCGCCGCTGTGGACAATGTTATGCCAGTGCACGCGATCCGGACGCGACACCACCTGCACGGACGCAGCACCACCTCCTCCAGTCGCTCGCACTCGCGCTCGCCGAGCAGCTACAGCAGTTCGCATAGCTCCTCATCCTCATCGCACTCCTCATCCCACTCGCACGCGTCCAGTCCCGTCCAGTCCACGGGCAATTGTGCGATGGCAGAGGGGCGCGGCGGGCGTACCCTCCAGTCCGTCGCCGTAACCAGTGAGTATTTTAATCCCGATACCATTAAAAATATCAGACATGGTATTCCTATTAATTTAATACTTTACCTCACCGTTACAGGCAACTCTTCAAATCCCAGTGGCAATGTTGGCAACGCCAGTAGCGCAGGCGGCGGCGGAGGCTGTGGCTCTAGTTCATCTTCAAGCAGTAGCTCTAGTTCCAGCGGATCCTCCTCCTGTCTGACGGCCAATCCCGTGGTGCATTCCGAAGACAACCGGCCGCTGGCGATACGTGTCCGCAACCTGCCCGCCCGTTCCTCGGACACATCCCTCAAGGATGGTCTGTTCCATGAGTACAAAAAGCACGGCAAGGTCACGTGGGTTAAGGTGGTGGGCCAAAACTCGGAACGCTACGCTTTGGTTTGCTTTAAGAAGCCGGATGACGTCGAAAAAGCGTTGGAGGTGTCACATGATAAACACTTTTTCGGTTGCAAGATCGAGGTGGAACCGTACCAGGGCTACGATGTCGAGGACAACGAGTTCCGCCCCTATGAAGCCGAGCTCGATGAGTACCATCCCAAGTCCACGAGGACGCTTTTTATCGGGAACCTCGAGAAGGACATCACCGCCGGCGAGCTGCGAGGTCATTTCGAGGGCTTCGGTGAGATCATCGAGATCGACATCAAGAAGCAGGGTCTAAATGCCTACGCATTCTGTCAGTATTCGGACATTGTCTCCGTGGTGAAGGCAATGCGCAAAATGGACGGCGAGCACTTGGGCAGTAACCGGATTAAACTGGGCTTTGGAAAATCAATGCCCACCAACTGCGTTTGGATCGATGGTGTCGGCGAGAAGGTGTCCGAGTCGTTTCTTCAGTCACAGTTCACGCGATTTGGGACAGTGACCAAAGTCAGCATCGATCGGAACAAGCAGTTGGCCTTGGTTCTGTACGACCAGGTGCAGAATGCCCAAGCCGCGGTGAAAGACATGCGCGGGACTATCATGCGGGGCAGAAAGCTGCAGGTGGATTTTGCATCGAGAGAGTGTCAGGACGCCTTTTATGACAAGCAGGAGAAGCCGCAACAGCAGCAACAAGGTTCCAGTAAGCTTAAACTGAAATATCCGTTATCACGATATCGTAATGTAATGTTATCTATTCTAGGTTCTATCTCGCGCTTTAGTCGCTATGAGTCAACTGCCTCTTCATCGCAATCCCGATCCCGCGCGTCTTCCTTTAGCCGCCATCAGAACAACTCAAACGACGGATGCTCGCCCGGCAACACGCCAGGAGGAGCTAGCAGTGGAAACGCCAGTGGGAGCAGTACAATTAACCAAAGCACCAACAGCATCATCACTTCAAACATCGGTACCACTGCCTCCAGTGTAATGCCAGCTCCTAGTTTGGCGTCTGCTACAGTAAGCAGTAGTGGCAACTCCTCCGGAACGATGCCTGTAGCCGCATCCATGCCCTCGGCGGCAAGCACCTCCTCTAGTTTGATGCCCATGTCTCCGGCTGCTTTAGCGCAAAGGCATCGAATGGCTCGAAATGCGCGTCAAACCGTTGACTGTGACTTCAACGATGTGGGTCGCCTTAGGTTTCGCAACTCTGAGGAGGTTTCTGGAGGCTCAGGAAGTTCCACGCAGTTTGAGGAAGTCCGCTCCGTTTCTCCAGTACTCTCTCGTCAAGGTACAGCTGTAAATTGTTTGTCTGGAACTGCTGGAGCTGTTGGCGAATCAATCGAAGGGACGATAAACAGTAGCCAAATTGGTGGTGGAGGAACTGCACCGACGGGACCAGAAGGCTTCACAGGATCTGGCAGCAACAGTCTTAGCCGGAGACGTTGCGGTAAGACACCCAAAGACTTGCACACCGTGCACAATCAACGTTTCCATTTGGCAGAACAACTCGAGGAATGCCCGTCCAGTGGTGATGAGGGTGTGGTCAGTCCGCGAAAGCGAATAAAAATGGATTACCACCATCACCAACATCATTCCAATGCTAGTGGGGTGAGTAAACTTTTCAATTAAGGCTAAACTAGTCCCAAATTTCCGAACATTCAATTGATACACATTTATAAAGTAAAAAAAGAGACTATTACACGCTGCTAATACCAATTTGTGTTAGATCAAAATATTACGAATATATATAAGAACTAAAAACCAAAATAGATTCAACAGCCCTTGTTATATTACATAAAAACTAATTCATGTTGTGAACAACTTTTCTTTTAGCTGGAGTCCACTGGAGAACTCAGCAGCATCAACAAACCCAGCCCTCTTTCCTTGTCCAACTGTGATGTGATACACGATCCTCTTAACCGTAAAAGCGAAATACGCAGGGTGTCCGAAACCCCGAGTGGTTCCCCCAGCATGAAGTTTCCCGGCCATCTGCCGTCGGCGCCCCCATCCATGATGCTCAGCTGCCGGCGCCCGTCCATTGATGTGGGAGCATTGTCGGCGCTCTCTAGTTCCTCGGCTTTCCGCCATGGAATCGTTGGAGCCAGCAGCATGGACCAGCAGCACATGTTAAATGCTTCGTTGGCTGCGAAGCGGAGACGAGTGACCAACACCATGCAGCAGCCGAGCTCATCCTCAACCAGCAATAACTCTGGTGGATCTGGCTTAGGCGGGATAAGTAGTCTAACGCCGGCGGATGACTACCATCATCATGTCTCGAGAGGCAGGGGCCATCAGCTACATTCCCATCACTCACACGAGGCCAGCGGTGGAGAAAGTGCGGATGGGTCTCGTCCTGGAACACCGCTGTGCGATGAGAGACCTGAAGTCCTGCCCACAGAGCCACGCCGCCTGCCTCCGCCCAGAGAAAGAGCGCGAGAAAGAGTCCGGGATGTGATGTGGCTTCCCCTGCCAAAGTTCGGTGTGCTCTTTTTCCAACAACAGCAATCCAGAGGCAGTGGATGCGGAGGGGGAAGCAGCTACCTACAACCGCAACTGGGGGCAGGGTCGTCCGGAGGTTTAGGAGGCTTAGGAGCTTCTTCCTCCTCGGCATGCTCCCTCAACAACTCTAGTCTAAACTCCAGTCAGGGAATGGGCTCCTGTTCTGGATCCGCATTCCTGCCCAGCCCCTCTTCACGATATTGGCGATCGTCCTCGCACCACCACCATCAGCATAATCACCAGCAGCAGTCGCAGCAATTGCACGGATCCACATCTTCCAACTCTGGTTTGATGGCCAGTCCGGCACGCCCGCGCTCACTTAGTTCAAACTCCAGCGATTCTGACGTACCTGGTCAAAATGCTGGCGGAAGTCCATCGTTGGATGAACGACTTCGCAACTTTGAGGAGAACTACGAGAGATGGTCTGGAGGAAGCAGCAGAGAACATGTTTCAAGTCATACCCCCTCTAGTGCCACGCCATCCTGGCAGCTCTCCGTGCACATGAATTTGGGGACCGGCCTAAATTCGCATCAAACTAGTTCGGGGTCCGGAAATAGCAACAGTTCAAGTGGTACAGTATCCAGCTCCACCAGCAATTCTCGGCACAAGTTTCTGGACATTGACGAGCTGCAACCCTCGGACATTGTCAAATCCGTGCTGGCCAAAAAAAGCATTTTCGATGACGATTTCCAACGGCTGAATAAAAACCAATGGTACGATCCAGCCAGCTCCGATTTCGCTTTGGGTTCCAACTCCAATATTATGGTAGGATCTTCGTTAGGATCTAGTGTTTCCCGACATCCTGGAGGCGCTTGCAGTGGGAACACCTCACCTGCCTTGCCCAATCTCGCGGCAACCAAAACCACTTCTATTATTGGAAACTGTGGTGTGGGGCTGGGTAACTCGACGAGTAGCAAAACGGCTGGGTTGCTTCAAAGGCTTAGTAGTTTGTCACCCATGAACTCTCCTCAAGCTTCGATGTCACCCTACAACAGCCCATCACCCTCACCTTCGGTAGGAGGAGCTACCTCCGCTAACCATGGACAGCTGAGCAAACCTACAGCACCGGGAGCAGCAAGTGGAGGACTTAGTGGAGGAACTATCGCCGCCTCATCCTCTCCAGCTACCAATTCGGGACCCACTAAGGGACTTCAGTACCCGTTTCCAAGTCACCCGCCATTGCCAAACACAGCTGCACCACCGCCGGCCGTGCAGCCAGCGCCACCACCTCCTCCAGAAATGGCAAAACAGTCTAGATCGGTTGGACAGACTTCAGGAAGCAATCTGACCAAGAGTTTGAGCGTACCAGATGCTCCTCAACAATCTCCAACGAGAATTCAGCTTCAGAAATCTGCCTCAGTGCCAGGGAGTACTAACGTGGGCACTACCAACAGCTCATCCTCAGGATCAGCAGCCGGGTCTACGGGTACATCTGCATCTACTTCATTATCATCGTCCAACGGTAACAGTTCCTCAACCACAACAGCGACACATGTACAAAAGCCACCACAACCGACCTTTAGCGAGGAGGAGCAGTCGAAAAAGAGTGGGACCTCGTCATCCCAATCCTCAAGTTCCAGCTCGAAGAAGGTCAGCAGCAGCCACGATAAATCTCACAGCAAGCACAACAATCGATCGGAAAGCGACAAGAAGAACAAAAAGTCTGACAAAAATTCATCGTCCCATTCGTCCTCCGATAAGCGAAAGAACTCGGCCACTTCCCAGTCCTCCAAATCAGCTACTCCCCGCATCGAAGACGACTCCAGTGAACCCGATGAGTCCGCAGAGAAATCCGAAAAAGACCAGCGCCACGAGAGGGAGAAAAAGGAGCGTCAAGAAAAGGAGAAGCGAGAGAAGGATCTGCGTAAGCAGCACGAGCGAGAGGAGAAGGAGCGAAAGGCTCTGCAGGAGGAAAGAGAGAGAGACGATCGAAAGGCTAAGGAGGAGAAAGAAAAGGAAAGGGAGCGGGAGAAAAAGGCCCAAGAGGATCGGGAAAAAAAGGAAAGAGAAGAGCGAGAGCTTAGAGAGAAGGAGCAGCGTGAAAAGGAACAAAAGGAAAAGGAAATCCGAGAAAAGGAGCAGCGCGAGAAGGAGCAAAGGGAGAAGGAGTTGCGAGAAAAAGATCAAAAAGAAAAGGAGCTGCGTGAGAAGGAGCAAAGGGAAAAGGAGCTTCACCGCGAAAAGGATCAACGGGATCAGCGAGAAAAGGAACAATCACGCCGCTCCATGGACTCGGAGCAAGAAGCTCGATTGGGCCGGATGCGTGAACTCTCTTCGTATCACAAGAGCAAAGCGGATGCCACCGTCGAGGCTAGCAGCTTCTACTCCCACAACAATATCCCTACCTCAACTGCCCCAATCGACTGTCACCACAACAAGGAAAACGCAGCGGATGCCACTACTCCCAATACTCCGAGTGCTTCTCCATCAACCCCTTCAGAAAACGCATCCAAGGACCGTTCTCGAAAGTTGTCTAGGAATTCGCCAGTGCGCTTGCATAAGCGACGACTTAGCTCACAAGAAAGCAACCACAGTGCCGGAGTATGTGGAGGATCCAGTCAACAGAATCACCATGAAGATTATGTAAAGCGCATAAGAATGGAAAACTCGCAGAACACATCGGCTCACAACAGTAATCAAAGGTTGAACGACCGCCGGGACTCCAAGGAGCACAAGAGCAGTAGTTCTAAGGAAGAGAAAACTAGTAGCTCTCACATCTCAAAGTCCCATGGTAGTGGAGGAAGTTCCTCCTCATCCTCAAAGCATCAACGCCGGGATAAACATCACCAGAAGAGCAGTGTCAGCTCCATAGAAACGAACCCCTCTATTGAAATGGTGGTGGATCCTTCTCCCCAGACCAAGCCACAGTTAAATACGAGTGAGGAGGAGCAGCATTCTCAACCCAAAAGAGAGAAGGAAAGGGAGCACTCCAGTAGTCACCATCATGGCAGTAGTTCATCCTCCAGGCATAAAAGCAAAAGAGAGCATCATCACCATCGCGAGAAAAAGAGGCATTCGGTGGCGGAATCCACAAACACAGATGAAGAACATACACCACAGCAGCATAATCCTCACAGGAGAACCTCGGCTGCAGGAAGTGGATCCGCTGGAGAACTCAGCTCAGCTGCCACTAATACCTCGAGTGGAAAACCCCATCATCACCACCATAGAAGAAGTGTCGAACGGAAATCGTCGAGGGGGTCTGATGAAGGCCATATCTCTTCGTCAAAATCGCTTCGCGCTAAACTGATGATGTTGAGCTCCGCAGATTCTGACGACACTGATGATGCTTCCAAGAAGCACTCCATTTTCGACATTCCGGACGATTGTCCAAATGTCTCAATGTACGACAAAGTAAAAGCCAGGAGCTGTAAGAATATGCAACGTCAGGCGGAGGAAAAGAAGATCAAGGCGAAATTCTCGCAGCTGAAGCAATCTCGTGCCAAAAAGAAGCGCTCTACTAGCTACGACGGGGACTCGGACACTGAGTTTGAGGATCGTCATCATCGGAATAGTGGCAGCAGCAGTTTCCATAGTCGTTATCCTGGACTGTCTAGCAGCGATGATGATGACGATGAGGAGTGTCATCAACGGCGAATTTCGTCTGATTCGGATGCAGAGCCTGGTGATCAGGATCCACAGGATGCAAGCTCCCTACCTGCTAACAGGTTGCGTCAGATGCAGCAGAACCTAAGGAGACTTTGCGATGGTGACGATAGTTCCGAGGATGAGATTAGAAGGAATGTGATGAAGCACAGTCATCTGGGAAAGAGAAACTCGCACTCCACCCGGATTGCATCCGATTCAGAGTCACAATCCCTTCCGGCTCCTGATTTGGCGATCAAGCAAGAACAACCAGCGGCTCCCGTCCAGGAAATCAAGCGAGAGCAGCTCTCTGACAGCGAACCGAAATTTAAATCACGTCATGATTCCAACTCCTCGGTAGAGGAGCGCAAGTTGAAGACGGAAAGAGAGATTAAGAAAGAGATTGGAGATTTCTACAATTCAGCTGCTTACACATACTCTGATTCTGGAAAGACCAAAGACTACTCTCCAGAAACTCGAAAGAAGCACAAGAAGAGCAAGAGACGCCTAAAGTCCTCCTCCACAGTAGAGACTTCGGCTCCTCCAACTCCTCTGCTAGTGACTCCATCGACACCCTCCATCTTTGATGTCCATTCCTCCACCGAGTGCAAAACCAAGTTCGACAGTTTTGATGACCTCAAAACTGAGAGTGCCTCGCTTCCAGTAGAGATTTCAGCCAGTGAGAGGAGGAAGCACAAAGAGAGAAAGGAAAAGAAACGCGAAAAGCTGAGGAACATGACGGAGAACAGTAGCGGTACTATTGTAACCAATTCACCCATCACAAATGATACAGGAACAGAAAAATTATCGAAAGAAGAGCGCCATCGTCTCAAGAAGTCCAAGAAATCGAAAAGTCTGGATACCTCCTCCTCCACAAAATTATACAGTTCAGGAGTAGTTCGTCCTAATGCTTCTCCTATGCCTGCCACACCCACTTCGGCTCCCGTGATAACCCAACCTTCAAAGAGAGGAGACGATAAAATGGAGTTTATCTTTGGCATAATTTCTGATGAGGAAGAGACCCAGTTTCCAGAACAAGTAGAAAGCAATAAGGACGTTATAGCCAGTTGTGGGTCTACTACTGGTCCAATTGTTTCCGCTGCGTTGCAAACCTACAAGCAGGAACCATCCACACCTACCAGCAAAAATCAGGAAGCACTTAAAGAATTGCCAGTGCAAGAGGATGAGCAGCAACAGGAGAGAAGTCGACAGTCGGGAGGAAGCGGCTCATCCCATGCGGATAGGGAGAGACATCGGAAGGAGAAGCGCGAAAAGAAGCGGCGCGAGAAATCTCAGCGAGAACAGCAAAATCATGCACAACAGCAATCCTCCAAGGCTGAGACCAAAGTGGATGATGATAACAGCGTGGATATGGATGAAGCAGGGAGGGCTCTAGAGGCACAACTGATGATTGACTTTGACAGCAAGACGATTCCAGAGGAAGCCACTCCTTCAACAGCCGCTACTTACAGATCCGATATGGCAGATGTGTTCCGATTCTCCGACACAGAAGACAACCATTCAGTGGAGATGATTAAACAGGGCGCCAAACCGGAGCAGCTTGAGCAGCATAAGAGCAAAGACAAAAAGAAGAAGAAAAAACGATCCAAAGAGGAGAAGCAGGAGAAGATGCTGCAACAACACCGCAGGGATTCCTTACCAAGTGTGGTTCCCACTTCATCCGCTCCTCCTACTCCTGGAAAGCTGACTGTAAACGTTCAAGCTGCCACCAAGCATGCAGAAGAACATTTTGATGATAAGCATGTTTCATCGCCGCCCCTGTGCAAACCATCTCCAAGTTTGCCATGTCTAATAGGCGACGATGACGATGATCTACTGCTTACCCCGAAAGTAAAACCTACGACGCCCACGAGCCGTGGAAGCGATAGCCTCACTCCTTCACGCGAGAAACCTCGTCTAATTAGTCCTATACCTAAAACTCCAACCATAGCCAACAGTTCCCTGTTGTCTACTCAGTCTGCGGAGACTCCTGTGAGCAGTGGAACTGGAGTGACTTCCTCATCTGCTTTGGCCACCACGCCCACATCTTCAACAGCAGCGGGAGCCAGTGCAGCAGTAGCTGCAGCGGCAGGCGTGGAAAGTTCGCCCACCAGTGCCTCTGCTCAAAGCAAGAAAAAGGATATCTTCATACCTGGTTTCGATGGTCAGCTGGATGATATGATTAGCGAATCAGCCGTTCAATCAATTTCGGCAGAGTTTAATTCATCGTCCTTACTCGATAACATGGCAGATGAACCGAAAATTCCGGTGGCATCGCCTCCAGGTGCGTCTAAACCTTTGGATAAGCTAGAGGATAGCAAGTCCCGTGTGACCATATCGCAGGAAGAGACGGAGAGTGCCGTATCCGCCCTTTTGGGTGAAAGTTTTGGAACCTCCTCTACGGCGGATTATTCACTTGATGGCATGGATGAAATGAACTCAGTAAGTGAAATAGAAACTCCCGCTCTAGTGGTAGCAGAACCCGATGAAGAAGCAGCTTTGGCCGCCAAGGCCATTGAGACAGCTGGGGAGCCTGCAGCTATCCTGGAGGATCCAGAAATTGAGCCCGAGCCAGAACCTGAACCAGACCCCGAGCCTGATCCAGAGCCCGAATCTGAATTGGAACCTGTCGCTGAAGTCGGGGATCCCGATGAACTCAATAAAGCGGTGCAAAGTTTAAGGCACGAGGATATGTTGGACATCAAGGCTGATACTCCGCAATCAGAGAGAGATCTACAGATTGATACGGACACAGAGGAAAATCCTGACGAAGCCGATAGCAGTGGACCTAGTCTAAAGATTGATGAAACTGTCCAGAGCTCCTCGTCGCCGGAGAAGTCCATCAGCCATTCTTCTGTTAGGGAAACGCCAAAGCCTCTGGAGGAGTCTAAGCCCAAGCCTAGCAAAGATACCGCAGCGCAACCGTCTGTGATTACCAAGTTGCCAACTTCGGAGCCGCAAAAGACGGCACCTGCAACTGGAACAGGCCTAGCCTCTTCCCCTGCTAAGATTGAACCGCCAACCATCAGTAAACTCCAACAGCCTTTGGTGCAGCCTGTGCAGACTGTCTTGCCTGCCCCACACGTAGCAGGAAGCGGAGTGAATCCAACTCCCGTTGTCAATTTGGATCTGTCCAATGTAATGAGCAATTGTCCTAACTCCAGCACGGCGTCTACAACAGCTTCAGCTTCTGCGTCAATCTCGTTCGGAAGTCCAACTCCAAGTCAGAATACTATGCCACAAGCTTCGACTCCCAAGCAGGCTCCGCTAACACCGCACCAAACACTGCGAGCGCAATCCCTGATTATGCAGCCACCAACAATATCCATACCAGAACCGACTCCCCACTTTGTGGTGCCCACAATGGTACTATCTCCACACCAGCAACAGCAGCCACATCACTCCCAGCAACCTGGAACTTACATGGTTGGCATTCGAGCTCCTTCTCCACACAGTCCGCTCCTTTCACCAGGGCGTGCTGGATCCCAAAACCGCCTAGTGGGTCAGTTGAGTCCTGTCGGACGACCTTTAGTAAACCAACCGTCACCTCAGCAACAGGCTCAGCAGCAACATACGCTGATAACTAGCCCGCAGGGTAGCAACATAAGCCCATTAGCAAGTCCCACAACGCGAGTGATGGCCGCCAACAATTCGCCTACAGCCAACAAAGCCAACAGTTACCAGCCAAGAGGCCAACAACAGCAGGTTTCACAGCAGCCTTCACAACAGCCTTCGCCCAAATCTGTGATTGAGGTGCAGAATTCATCGCAGTTAATGGCAATTCCGCTGCAAAAAATGCCAGCGTTGCCAGTGCCTCATCATCCGACGATCATTAGCAAGGTGGTCACAGTGCAGCCACAACAGGCCACTCAATCCCAGGTGGCCAGTTCACCACCTTTGGGCAGCCTGCCGCCTCACAAGAACCTCCATGTCAATGCCCAGCAGCAACACCACCAGACCCAGCAGCAGCAGCAGCATTCGCCGCAAATGATGGCCAAGATGACAGCGCAGCATCAGCAACAAATGCAACAGTTTATGCATCAGCAGATGGTTCAGCGACAACAACAGCAGCACATGCAACAGCAACAACTTCATGGTCAGGCGCAACAGTTGACGCCAGCTCAGCAACACCAAATGCAGCAACAGCATCAGGCTCAGCAACACCATCATGCGCAACAGCAACAGCATCAGGCTCAGCAACACCATCAAGCACAGCAACAACATCAGGCCCAACACCAACACCAAAACCAGCAACAGTTGAACCAACAACATCATGCTCAACAGCAACATCAGAAACAGCATCAAGTTCAGCCACAGTTTAACCAACAACATCAGACCCAGCAGCAAGCCCAGGCCCAACAGCAGCATCAAGCTCAGCAGCAGTTAAACCAACAACATCAGGCTCAACAACTGCAGCAAATACAGAAGCTACAACAACAGATCCATGGTGCCCAGCAACAACAACAATCGCCTCAGGGAACTGCCCACTTGGGAGCTCCTTCGTCAATGTTTGCATCACAACAACATCATACGCAGCTTCCACCACGAGGTGTGCCTACGCAGCAACATCCGCAACAATTGCCGCACAGTCCACCTTGCAAACCAAATACTTTGGTTCCAGTCCCTCAAGTGCAAGTGCCCCAGGGTGCAGCAATATTAACCAAAGTTGGAGTCCAAGCACAGACACACCAACAGCAGCCATCACACCAACCGCCAGTACACCATCATCAGAAACAACTGTCTTCACCTGGAGGAAATCTTCCTCTTCAAGCGCCACACAACGTAATCCAGAATACACCGAAAATGATTGTCCAACAACACATTGTACCCCCACCAAACCAAGTTGCACCACAACCTAATATAGCGAATGCCATACAGTACCCTCCTAGCCAGAGCAAGGAGAATCCAGCTCCTGGCCATGTGGAACCATCACCGACTATGACAACTCTGAAGACATCGGAAAGTGTCTCAGTAATTCGCACACCTACTCCAACCACCAGTTCGGCAGTGATCTCACCAAAAACTGGGGCCTCCCTGTTAACTGAAGAAAATTTGATCAAAATCTCACAGCCAAAGCAGGATGAGCTAATCGAGCAGGATTCCAAGGAAGTAGACAGCGATTACTGGTCAGCTAAGGAGGTGAATATTGACAGTGTGATAAAGAAACTAGACACTCCATTGACTAGTAAAGATGAGAAACGGCCAGTCGAGATGCAGACAATTGCAGCGGCTCCAATTCCGAATCCGCAGCCAGTGGACCATGTAGTAGTTGAAGATACTCATCTACCAACTCCTTCCGCGAGTGTGAACAGCTCCAACGATCATGACACGGAGGATGAAACGGAGACAAGACAACTGCCGCCAGCAAAGCCTGTTGTACCCACTGTTGGCAGACCACCGGGAAGGGGAGGAAGCGCCAAGCGAGGACGCCAACCGAGGGGAGCCAAAAAGGTGGGAGGCTTTCCGCTAAATGCAGCAACAGCACGAATAGCAGCCGATTTGGGATTGGTATTACAACCAGGTGACAATGGAGTGCAAACCAGGCTGAGGAAACCTGTTACAGCTCCTGTGACCAGAGGCAGGAAAGGACGACCTCCAAGGAATCTGCTATTGCAGCAGCAGCAACAGCTTGATCTACAGCGAAAGGCAATGGAAATGGTCGGAGCTAATACACCTGCAGTTGCACCGCCAGCAGTTCCTATTCCTCCAAGTCCCGTGCTCACAGCTGCAGAGAAGAAGGCCAGAAATCAAGCCATGACTCAAGCGCAAGTCCAGCATCAAGTCACAAGTCAAATGGGGTCTAGTCAGGATATCTACGAATTCCATGAAGACGCTGGTGAAGAACCGAAGGGCAAGGCTAATTCTGCTGTTGCGCCACCTGCAGAGGATCAGCGACCACGGCTCATTCTCACCATCAATAAAACCCAACCCTCGATTAAGAATAGCAATGAAGTTGAGCAACCTGTGCAACAACAACAGCAGCAACCTGACGTTGCATCGCAAATTGATCCAATAGGAGGAGACAACTCCGAGTCCAGTAATACACGCAAATCACGTCGCCTACAGGAAAAGGAGGATCGTAGCACAGTAGACGACATCATCGAAGATGTCGTGCGGAATACCAACACACCAACTGGAGCAGGACAACAGTTACCAAAAGGCGCCCAAACTCCACCACGACGTTCTGGCAGAAATGCGCAGGCCAAGAAGACGGATGCAGTACATCCCTCCAACGCAGTGGGTCGCCCTAGACGTTCAAAGGACAGGAAGACCATTGGTGAACCGCCAGCAAGCTTGATGGAGGAGACAATCGCGCCCAATCCAACTGCTGCCGCTCCTACATCCAATCTCTTGCCGCCACCTGAAGCAGTTAATGTCCAACCTCATATGCCGCAGTTAGATGGTAAAGAAGTGGAACCAGTACAAGATGTGGCACCGATTCCTACTTTAACTCCTGTGGCCGTATCTGTTCCCGTTTCCGTTCCAGCGCCCGCTCCCGCGCCAGTAATGGTTCTTCCCAAGCCTACAATGCCTCAACATCCCAAGAAGAAGGCTATTGCGGCGGCTGAGATTGAATCGTATCAGGCCATTAACTCATCCATTCCCAGCGGTGGGTTGCCAATGCATCAGACTGCCGCTCCTGCTACTCAAAAGATCACTGGTGGGGCAGCGGATGCGGTCAGCAAGGCTCTGGTTGACCCCGTCACTGGAGTTATAACCGCAGGAATGCCTCAGGGCAAGGAGGGAAATCTTCCAGCTGCCACCGCTGCTGCTCCTGCCAACAGCAGCAATGAAGCTGGCCCACCGCCTCATCTCTCTCAGCAGCAACAGCAACATCCACAGCAAGCACCACAGCAACAAGCAAATGTACAGATCAGTAGCACTGTGATTGCTTCTGGTGCACCACCACCAATTACGGCCTTGGGAAAATCAGTTCAACTTGAGTCCGCAGCAGCGGCGGCCTTGCTCAACAAACCTGTGAGTGTTCTGGTAAAAGGAAACCCCACTCCACAGGTGATTCAGCAGCAGCAACTATCTCAGATAGTGGCTCCGCCAAAGCAACCCATTGTAATGCAGCAAAATCCCCTTCCCTCTGTGCTGCAACATGCCCAGCACAGCAACGTGCGGGCACCTCAACCACTTAAGGCACACGTGCTGAACAGGGAAAAGAATCTCCAGCAGCAATTGACGCCCACAAAGCAACCAGTAGCTCAGTCCCAGCAGCAGCAGCCACATTCCGCTCACTTGATGCTTACAGATACCGCTGTAAATCAACAACAATTGCAGCCCCAGATCATTGCACGTCACCTGCAGCACCAACATCTTGTGGTCAACGTGCCGCCACCGACAGCACACTCGCCGCATTCGCCAAGGATTGCCGGTCAGCAGCAACAGTTGGGACCGGGAACTAACGTCAGTCCCCAGCAGCAGCAGCCACAAACGTTGGTGATCAAGCAAACGGCTTCGGCTGCGACACCACAGATATTGCATGTGGTCAGTTCAAAGGCTTCAGTGGTGACGCAGCCGCAACAGCAGCAGCCGTTACCCCCTTCGTCTGTAGGAGCTCATATGCAGCTGGGCAAGCCCAACTATGGCTACGCACCCGCTGTTTTGCCACCCACTTCATCGGCATCCGTTCAACAGCAGCATCTGTACAAGCAAACCAGTCAGCAAAAGGGAACTCAGATGCAACTGCCCCTTCACAGCATGATATTGCCAACCCACCCTGGAATGCTGCAGCAGAAACTACCAGCACATCTGCAGCCACAGCAGCATCAGTTGAATCCTTCGCCGCCGCCTGGAAAGCCAAACCCCTTAGTGCACGGCCTGCAGGCTGGACAGATCATGCCAGGAAGTGTGGGAAGTCCACCACCGGTATCAGCTGCAGTATTGAAATCCGCTCAGCCGCAGGTGAATTCCTCTATCGGACCAGCTGGTAAGTTGTGGATACCCTACATCAAAACGAAGTCCACATCTAACTTCAATATTTTTACAGGGCTGCGCACTGCCATACCGAATATCAGTCCGCAGGGCCAGCCGAGGGTATCGCCTTTGGTTCTACCACCCGGAATGACCGGAGTGCCACCTTTCGACGCAAGTCTGGTAAGCAATCGATAGTAATATCAATTTCTGTTACCTTAAGCGAACTAAAACTATATTTGAAATGTTAAACAAGTTTTAGTCCGAAATTTTTTTTTTTAAATAAACTTTATTTTGAGTTCTAAACTTATAAGAATTAACATCATGTACTAACAATATACTAATTTTACTATTGAAATTGCTAACTGTGGATGCAGCACGACCTGGGCGCTTATGTAAGTGGACGGCGAACCCAGAGTCCGCCTCCAGCTCATCAGCAGGCATCGCCTATAACTCCGGTAATGCACAAGTTTAACTTGCGGAGCTTTCAAGTAGCGTAACCAAATTGGGCACTTCGTGCAGCCTTATTATTTTAAATAAGCCAAGTAAATGATTACCTAATCAATACATTTTTGTCATTGGTATTTTCCAGAACGATTCAACCTATCGAGGAGTGGCTACTTCCAGGGATTTTATGCTCTACCAGCACCACTTGATGCGAGGTGGCGATTACGATGACAAAATGAGCAACAGTCCGCCGCTAGAGCTACGACGCCCTGGCAGTGGTCCTCCAAGGACCATCGCAGTGCCCCACAGTTTGCAGAGTCCTCAGGATCGCACAGCAGCTGGTAAGTGTTCAGTGCTTAAGCCTTTTGATTTTCAAATCACAGTAACGCCTAATCCGTTTCTGTTCATAGACTCACCGCAAATGGCGCAGGTTTACGTACACAATGCCCGCATTCCACCGGCGCACTTCAGCGAAATTGCATCGCGAGGCTTGTACGACAGTGGTGGCTTACAGCTCGAACCCCCACCGGCCCATAGACCAACAGCATCTATTAGCGTGGTGGTGCCACAACAAATGCCACCCGTCTCCACCGGAAGTCCGTTTATTGGACGCGATGGCAGCGTGCAGCCGGGAAGCCACCTTCACCCAGGCAAGGCAATGGAAATGCAGTTGGATGATCTAGATCGCATGTCTATGCTCGCAGCTGTCGGTAAGTGTGATCGGTCAATGTGAAGTCAATGTATTGCAATTATAGCTAACAAAAATTGTACACTCGCCATTGCAGTCAAACAACAGCAGGAGCATCTACAACCTGCTCTGCACGCTGGCATGGAATTAGCCACCCAGCAAGCTCCACCAACGATGGCTCCACCTCCGGGTGATTCGCTGGTCACTCTTCTGCAACGCTATCCAGTGATGTGGCAGGGTTTACTGGCCCTTAAAACTGATCAGGCCGCTGTTCAAATGCACTTTGTGCACGGAAACCCGAATGTGGCAAGAGCGTCGCTTCCCAGTTTGGTGGAGACCAACACCCCGTTGCTGAGGATTGCGCAGAGGATGCGACTGGAGCAGACGCAGCTGGAAGGAGTCGCCAAGAAGATGCAGGTATGTAAAGAAAACCGATGTAGCGATTGTTATATTGTTTTCATATTCTGAGCAACAATAAAATCTTCGAATTGAAATCCACAGGTTGACAAGGAGCATTGCATGCTTTTGGCTTTGCCATGCGGAAGAGATCACGCCGATGTGCTTCAGCATTCAAGGAACCTCCAGACCGGATTTATCACCTACCTGCAACAGAAAATGGCCGCCGGCATTGTGAATATACCCATTCCAGGCAGCGAGCAGGCGGCCTACGTGGTGCACATCTTCCCGGCATGCGATTTTGCTAATGAGAACCTGGAGCGGGCTGCTCCGGATCTCAAGAATCGCGTGGCCGAGTTGGCACACCTCCTGATTGTAATTGCCACTGTCTAAATCGCAGAACAGGCAACTCACTGATAAAACAAAAGAAATAGAAGAGACAAGCTAAAAAATTACCGGATGTTAAACCCCACGGAAAAATACAACAACCAGAAAGAAAAAACCATCAAAAACAAGATACGCTCTTCTAGTATTTTAAGTAATTTTAAATAGCGGTTAAACAAGCAAAAGTTTAAAAAAGCAAAGCAAAACGATACAAAAAGAACTTTAACAGGCAGAAACATGCAAACTTTATTGAATAAATAAATGCAAGAGAAGCAGAAGAACTTTGAGGCCAAGATCACATCTAACCGTAAAGAGACCCAAACAAAGCGAAAGAAATCCCTTAAAATCCCGACACTTTGAAAGCTGAAGCAAAACGATGAATATTTGTCCAAATTAGTTATTTAACTTTTCCTAATTTAAAAACATTAACAAAAAGCTTGCAAAGTATCGTTAAGTTTGATCTCAAGAAAGAAAGTTTTATTTTTGCTTAATTTAAAATGAAAGAAACACGTAAAAAAACACACGAACACCTACACATGCAAATTGAAAGAAATGTTAATGAAAGCTTACAACATATTAACTGTTTACTGTACTATGCATACTACTACCCATACATAATATTAATATCCGATCCTATCCTTAACACGATTAAGTTTTGATTGGTGTATATCTTTCGACTAATTCGATAGGAAAGTTACTGCTCCGCGTTATACAAAGTTTCCGCCCCGAACAATCAGCCGTTTTATTTTAGACAGATCGGTTCCTTGGCTCTATGGAATGCCTTCCTATAAAACTAGAATATCGGGCCTGACATAGACCCAAAGAACTTCAGACGGGACTGTCGCCCATGCTGTTCAGCACAATTAGGTTTAGAGATGCGCCCAGAGGCTTTTCCTGATAGCATACACACACATACATTATGCATTACATTACATTATCTAGACGTGTATTTAATTATAATCAATATTTTAAGCCAAATACTTTAAAGTTTAGACACGTTTAATTCCGTGTTGTTACTTTCGCTCTGCACCAGAGTTTTTTCTATTCTCTTAAAAATCGCGATTGTTTTCGACTCGACGCTGACGGTCATTTTGTTTGTTATTTCCTACCTTTTGTTTCTATTTTAACATTTTTTTTTTATTACCACCACCACTGCCACAAAACTAAATCTATAAATCACTGGTCTACATCTAAACATAGGCGTTACGATCTCCTCCCACTTATTAGTTATTGTGCGCGAAACTTTGTACAATGTTGGGTAGTTTCTGGGCCTCCCTTACGCTGACAACCCACAAGAACATTAACACATAAACATACCCCTCACAATATGATACAATAACCTATATAGTACCCTCTCTGAACACTCCTTAAACTTAATCGTAAGTTTTCACACGACTTGTAAATTTTGTGACCGACAGGATAATATGAAAAAGAAAACAAGAGTAAAAGAAACAAAAACAAAACACAACTGTAAAATATTTAAATTATTTAGACTCTAACAAGTATGAAATGTAAATACAGTTTAATTAGTGTTTAGCGCGTATTTAGTTGTATGTTTTAAAACTAAACTAAAGAGAAACAAACTGTACATTATATAACACAATTAATGATACGAAAAAAGAGAGATCAATTCTGCAATTGGTCACCCAGAAACAGTAATCGATAAAGAAAAAGTAAAATGCGAAAAAAGCAGCAAGTGAGAACACAATTTTCAAGTTGAAACAGATGAAGCGCTGTTAAACGTATGTTAATGTATAAGTTGTATGATTTAAGAGACTTTTTAGTTATTTTCTAAGTTACTTTGAAGAAACCGATTAAATTACAATTATTTCTTACACTTGGTTTTGTTTTTATTTTCGCCCTCCAGATTCTATAGGTTTCTTGGCCCGTAAAATAAAATCGAACCCCATAGCGAAATGCAACTTATACATACATATATACATTATATATATATAGATGTTAATGTTATAACTGTAATTAAATAAATTCTATACCTATGCAGTCGTTTTGGGTGTTCTTGGAAATTGAATTTGAGAGAGTAGTAAGGAGTTCGTTCTAAGTACGTTGTACATTGCTTATTCTTCTGTTCGCCTGGCATTAAATATATATATATATATACATTTGTTGCTTTCGTGTGAGATCCAAGACATGAAAGTCGACTTCAAGTACCAGGCGAACAGAAAATTTCAGTAGGTTGACATTCGGATGAAACTAACGGCTATATTTATCACGCTTCCTAACGATCTTTTTCTACCGACTTGCTAATCTTTCTGTTCGCCTGGTATCCGGCGGTTTTTCAGTAATCTGTTTTTTTGACAGAAATCCGTTCAATAAATAAAAATAATATATTAAGCAGACTTTTGCTAATACTTCTGTTCGCCTGGTATCTCAAACAACGAGATCCATGAATTTGACTAAAATTTCTGCTTTACGGGGGTCTGTTACAAGGAAAAACGAGTACATTTTGGAGTTCAGAAACCAGGAGAACATAAACCAGTAGTAGGTATATTTGCTCCTTTAGCGTGAGATCCGAGCCAACAAGTTTTACCGAGTTTGATGAGCAAAATCGATTTAATGTACCAGGCGGACAGAAATTTCAGTAGGCTGACATTCGGCACAATCTAAAAGTTATATTCATCCCGCTCACGAATAACCATTTTGTACCGACTTGCTAATCTTTCTGTTCGCCTGGTATCCGGCGATTTTTCAGTAATCTGTTTTTTTGACAAAAGTCCGTTAAATAAATAAAAATAATATATTGAGCAGACTTTTGCTAATACTTCTGTTCGCCTGATATCTCAAACAACGAGATCCATGAATTTGACCAAAATTTCTGCTTTACGGGGGTCTGATACGAGGAAAAACGAGTACATTTTGGAGTTCAGAAACCAGGAGAACATAAACCAGTAGTAGGTATATTTGCTTCTTTAGAGTGAGATCCGAGCCAACAAGTTTTACCGAGTTTGATGAGCAAAATCGATTTAAAGTACCAGGCGGACAGAAATTTCAGTAGGCTGACAATCGGCACAATCTAAAAGTTATATTCATCCCGCTCACGAATAACCATTTTGTACCGACTTGCTAATCTTTCTGTTCGCCTGGTATCCGGCGGTTTTTCAGTAATCTGTTTTTTTGACAGAATTCCGTTCAATAAATAAAAATAAGATATTGAGCGGACTTTTGCTAATACTTCTGTTCGCCTGGTATCTCAAACAACAAGATCCATGAATTTGACTAAAATTTCTGCTCTTCGGGGGTCTGTTACAAGGAAAAACGAGTACATTTTGAAGTTCAGAAACCAGGAGAACATAATCCAGTAGTAGGTATACTTGCTCCTTTAGCGTGAGATCCGAGCCAACAAGTTTTACCGAGTTTGTTGAGCAAAATCGATTTAAAGTACCAGGCGGACAGAAACTTCGGTAGGTTGACATTCGGCTCAGTTATATTCATCACGCTCATGAACAACCTTTTTCTACCGACTTCCTAATCTTTCTGTTCGCCTGGTATACGGCGATTTTTCAGTAATCTGTTTTTTTTGACAGAAGTCCGTTAAATAAATAAAAATAATATATTGAGCAGACTTTTGCTAATACTTCTGTTCGCCTGGTATCTCAAACAACGAGATCCATGAATTTGACTAAAATTTCTGCTTTACGGGGGTCTGATACAAGGAAAAACGAGTACATTTCGGAGTTCAGAAACCAGGAGAACATAAACCAGTAGTAGGAATATTTGATTCTTTAGAGTGAGATCCGAGCCAACAAGTTTTACCGAGTTTGATGAACAAAATCGATTTAAAGTACCAGGCGGACAGAAACTTCAGTAGGTTGACATTCGGCTCAGTCTAAAAGTTATATTCATCAGGCTGATGAACAACCTTTTTCTACCGACTTGCTAATCTTTCTGTTCGCCTGGTATACGGCGATTTTTCAGTAATCTGTTTTTTTGACAGAAGTCCGTTAAATAAATAAAAATAATATATTGAGCAGACTTTGGCTAATACTTCTGTTCTTTTGGTATCTAAAACAACGAAATATCCATGAATTTGACTAAAATTGTTGCTTTACGGGGGTCTGATACTAGGAATAACGAGTACATTTTGGAGTTCAGAAACCAGGAGAACATAAACCAGTAGTAGATATATTTGCTCCTTTAGCGTGAGATCCGAGCCAACAAGTTTTACCGAGTTTGTTGAGCAAAATCGATTTAAAGTACCAGGCGGACAGAAACTTCAGTAGGTTGACATTCGGCACAATCTAAAAGTTATATTCATCCCGCTCACGAATAACCATTTTGTACCGACTTGCTAATCTTTCTGTTCGCCTGGTATCCGGCGATTTTTCAGTAATCTGTTTTTTTGACAAAAGTCCGTTAAATAAATAAAAATAATATATTGAGCAGACTTTTGCTAATATTTCTGTTCGCCTGGTATCTCACACAACGAGATCCATGAATTTGAATAAAATTTCCGCTTTACGGGAGTCTGTTACAAGGAAAAACGAGTACATTCTTTAGTTCAGAAACCAGGAGAACATAAACCAGTAGTAGGTATATTTGCTTCTTTAGCGTGAGATCCGAGCCAACAAGTTTTACCGAGCTCGATGACCAAAATCGATTTAAAGTACCAGGCGGACAGAAATTTCAGTAGGTTGACATTCGACTTTATCTAAAAGTTCTTGCTCACGAACAACTTTTTTGTACCGACTTGCTAATCTTTCTGTTCGCCTGGTATCAGGCGATTTTTCAAAAATCGGTTTTTTTGACAGAAGTCCGTTAAAAAAATAAAAATAATATATTGAGCAGACTTTTGCAAATATTTCTGTTCGCCTGGTATCTCACACAACGAAATCCATGAATTTGAATAAAATTTCTGCTTTACGGGGGTCTGTTACGAGGAAAAACGAGTACATTTTGGAGTTCAGAAGCCAGGAGAACATAAACCAGTAGTAGGTATATTTGCTCCTTTAGCGTGAGATCCGAGCCAACCAGTTTTACCGAGTTTGATGACCAAAAGCGATTTAAAGTACCAGGCGGACAGAAATTTCAGTAGGTTGACATTCGGCTCAATCTAGAAGTTTATTCATCACGCTTACGAAAAACCTTTTTGTACCGACTTGCTAATCTTTCTGTTCGCCTGGTATCCGGCGATCTTTCAGTAATCTGTTTTTTTGACAGAAGTCCGTTAAATAAATAAAAAAAATATATGTTAAGCAGACTTTTGCTAATACTTCTGTTCGCCTGGTATCTCAAACAACGAGATCCGTTAAATTGCTTAAAATTGCTGCAAATAAGATTACCCCCGTAAAGCAGCAATTTTAGTCAAATTCATGGATCTCGTTGTTTGAGATACCAGGCGAACAGAAGCATAAGCAAAAGTCTGCTCAATATATTATTTTTATTTATTTAACGCAATTCTGTCAAAAAAACAGATTACTGAAAAATCGCCTGGTACCAGGCGAACAGAAAGATTAGGAAGTCTGTATGAAATGGTTATTCGTGAGCGGGATGAATATAACTTTTAGATTGAGCCGAATGTCAACATACTGAAGTTTTTGTCCGCCTGGTACTTTAAATCGATTTTGCTCATCAAACTCGGTAAAACTTGTTGGCTCGGATCTCACGCTAAAGGAGCAAATATACCTACTACTGGATTATGTTCTCCTGGTTTCTGAACTCCAAAATGTACTCGTTATTCCTGGTATCAGACCCCCGTAAAGCAGAAATTTTGGTCAAATTCATGGATCTCGTTGTTTGAGATACCAGGCGAACAGAAGTATTACCAAAAGTCTGCTCAATATATTATTTTTATTTATTTAACGGACTTTTGTCAAAAAAACAGATTACTGAAAAATCGCCGGATACCAGGCGAACAGAAAGATTAGCAAGTCGGTACAAAATGGTTATTCGTGAGCGGGATGAATATAACTTTTAGATTGTGCCGAATGTCAGCCTACTGAAATTTCTGTCCGCCTGGTACATTAAATCGATTTTGCTCTTCAAACTCGGTAAAACTTGTTGGCTCGGATCTCACGCTAAAGGAGCAAATATACCTACTACTGGTTTATGTTCTCCTGGTTTCTGAACTCCAAAATATACTCGTTTTTCCTTGTATCAGTTGTTGGCTCGGATCTCACGCTAAAGGAGCAAATATACCTACTACTGGATTATGTTCTCCTGGTTTCTGAACTCCAAAATGTACTCGTTATTCCTGGTATCAGACCCCCGTAAAGCAGAAATTTTGGTCAAATTCATGGATCTCGTTGTTTGAGATACCAGGCGAACAGAAGTATTACCAAAAGTCTGCTCAATATATTATTTTTATTTATTTAACGGACTTTTGTCAAAAAAACAGATTACTGAAAAATCGCCGGATACCAGGCGAACAGAAAGATTAGCAAGTCGGTACAAAATGGTTATTCGTGAGCGGGATGAATATAACTTTTAGATTGTGCCGAATGTCAGCCTACTGAAATTTCTGTCCGCCTGGTACATTAAATCGATTTTGCTCTTCAAACTCGGTAAAACTTGTTGGCTCGGATCTCACGCTAAAGGAGCAAATATACCTACTACTGGTTTATGTTCTCCTGGTTTCTGAACTCCAAAATATACTCGTTTTTCCTTGTATCAGACTCCCGTAAAGCAGAACTTTTAGTCAAATTCATGGATCTCGATGTTTGAGATACCAGGCGAACAGAAGTATTAGCAAAAGTCTGCTCAATATATTATTTTTATTTATTTAACGGACTTCTGTCAAAAAAAACAGATTACTGAAAAATCGCCGTATACCAGGCGAACAGAAAGGTTAGCAAGTCGGTAGAAAAAGGTTGTTCATGAGCGTGATGAATATATCTGAGCCGAATGTCAACCTACCGAAGTTTCTGTCCGCCTGGTACTTTAAATCGATTTTGCTCAACAAACTCGGTAAAACTTGTTGGCTCGGATCTCACGCTAAAGGAGAAAATATACCTACTACTGGTTTATGTTCTCCTGGTTTCTGAACTCCAAAATGTACTCGTTTTTCCTTGTATCAGACCCCCGTAAAGCAGAAATTTTAGTCAAATTCATGGATCTCGTTGTTTGAGAGACCAGGCGAACAGAAGTATTAGCAAAAGTCTGCTCAGTATATTATTTTTATTTATTTAACGGACTTCTGTCAAAAAAACAGATTACTGAAAGATCGCCGGATACCAGGCGAACAGAAAGATTAGCAAGTCGGTACAAAAAGGTTTTTCTTAAGCGTGATGAATAACCTTCTAGATTGAGCCGAATGTCAACCTACTGAAATTTCTGTCCTCCTGGTTCTTTAAATCGATTTTGGTCATCAAACTCGGTAAAACTTGTTGGCTCGGATCTCACGCTAAAGGAGGAAATATACCTACTACTGGATTATGTTCTCCTGGTTTCTGAACTTCAAAATGTACTCGTTTTTCCTTGTAACAGACCCCCGAAGAGCAGCAATTTTAGTCAAATTCATGGATCTCGTTGTTTGAGATACCAGGCGAACAGAAGTATTAACAAAAGTCTGCTCAGTATATTATTTTTATTTATTTAACGGACCTCTGTCAAAAAAACAGATTACTGAAAAATCGCCTGATACCAGGCGAACAGAAAGATTAGCAAGTCGGTACAAAAAAGTTGTTCGTGAGCGTGAACTTTTAGATAAAGCCGAATGTCAACCTACTGAAATTTCTGTCCGCCTGGTACTTTAAATCGATTTTGGCCATCAAACTCGGTAAAACTTGTTGGCTCGGATCTCACGCTAAAGAAGCAAATATACCTACTACTGGTTTATGTTCTCCTGGTTTCTGAACTCCAGAGTGTACTCGTTTATATATTATTACTATTTATTTAACGGACTTCTGTCAGTCCGTACTAACAGATTACTGAAAAATCGCCGGATACCAGGCGAACAGAAAGATTAGAAAGTCGGTGCAAAATGGTTATTCGTGAACGGGATGAATATAACTTTTAGATTGAGCCGAATGTCAACCTACTGAAATTTCTGACCGCCTGGTACCTTAAATCGATTTTGCTGTTTCTTTGGTATTTCTTGAAGGTGAAAATAAATTTATTTATTTCAGTTCTCTTAGTTCGAAAATCCGTTACGAGGTCGATGCTTTCGATAGGCGAACTGGCCGCTATCGTTATAATTTTGCCGATTAATCGTATATAGTCCACCTCTAAGAGTAGAAGAGGCAGAAAAGAAATAGTAGTAGATTGTTATTATACTTAAAAAAATAATTAAATTGAAAGAAAATAAACAACTAGTTTTAGGAATACGGAAACCTTGTAGATAATTGCACCATGGCGAGCCTAATACAGAAGAGTAAGCTAACCCGCTTTTGTTTATGTTTCGTGCGCTTTACCGGGAGCAAGATATTTGTTGTGTAACTATGTGTTAAATGTTTACTTATTTGTTGACTCTCTTTTGATTGCCAGGCCTTCCGCTGACCAAAACCAGCACTCCGGCGCTGCAGTTCCTCCGCTTCAGGGGCAAGATCAACATACAGCGGCCAAAGGAGCCCCACTACGAGCGTGCCCGCGTCATTGCCGTCACCCATCCGAAATATCCTGAGCCACCAAAGGCAAAGAGCTGCTTCAAAACGCGTGAGGAGCGTACGCAGCAGCAGCTGGAGAACCCCTACAACGAGATCATCGCCCGGGAAGTGCGCAACTGGCTGGACCACTCCCGTCTGGTTGCCGTTTTCCACCTCAACTCCATTACAGCCGACGAGATATTCCGCGTGCGCGTTCAACTGCACAAACAGAACCTGCACCTGAAGTCCTACGGCAGCAAGATCATCGGACAGGCGGTGAAGGGTACACGCTACGAGGCTATCCTGCCGTTGTTTCACTCCAATCACTGCATTGTCTTCTCCCCGGACCAGCAGAGGACTGCCACCCTTCTGAGGATCACTCGTAAGGTGCCGCAAATGGTCCTTCTAGGTGGCATCGTGGAGGAGACCTTGGTCAGCAGGAACCAGCTGGTGGCCTACGCCCAGATGCCAGGCCTGCAGGCGGCGCAGGCACAACTGGTCCAAACCCTTAACCAGGCAGCTGGTCATCTTGTCCAGCAATTGCAGGCGCATCAGAACAGCTTCGTGCAAGTCCTTGATGTCCATGCAACGAAGAAGGCGGAGCCGGAGTCAACGGAGGAGTCCAAGTGAAACAAGTTTGTTAAATAACAAGAAAATCGAAAATGTATCCTTTGTCTTTCACTCTAAGCTAGCTGCTAAATATCTGTTAACTTTCGGCATGATCTGGTTCTCACTTTCACAGATGCAGTATGATTAAATGTGCTAATTAAAAATTGTACAATATTCAATGTACTGTCAAGAAACTCAAAAAGTGAAAACCATACAAAGCCGATATGACTAGGTTGCACTTTTCCAACGGGGCCTAAAACTTCTGCTGGAATGATGGCGTCTGTTGTGGATTCTTCGGTGGTGTCGCTCAGGAACTGATGGTTTGGTGCCAACGCTGCCTACAGTTGAAGGCGAGGTTGGCCAAGGCCTCTGCAGCGTCCAGTTCGTCCTTGTGATGGAGCACGAAGCGGTCACTGCGAGCAGTTGCATCACTTGCGAAGATAATTTGCCCGCAGCTGTTGCTACTGCTGCTTTTTTGCCTGGAATTAAGAGGAATTAATATCACAACGAGCCCTGGTAGTCAAGAACTACGTTACCTGCTCGTATTCCACTCGATGTGATAGTTATTCCTGTTTGGCGTGAATTTCGCCGCACTCTCCAGCCACTTGTTGAGTTGCGTGCCCGGTTGACTGGCCGCTTCCGCCTTGGAACTATCCCGCAGGTACTTCTCCATCATCTGATGCTTGTACTTCGCTTTGCCCCCCATCTGTACTTCGGACAAAATTGGTATCCGTTCGGACAAGCTCGTAGATTCCACATAAAAATTGGGCTGATACGGGGATGAGGATTCATTGTTGGCATTGCCATCGCTGCCTGTGCTGTGGCTGGACAACTCGTCGTCATCGTCGCCTTCGTCATCCTCCGCGCGACACGAGTGCATCTCCTCTTCCCAAATACTATCCTCCGACGAGATGCTGAATTGTTCCACATTGCCCCTCGCATTGTGGTTATAGTTCTTGATCAGATGACCCCACGACTTCTTTGCCTTCTCCCGCTCTGAGTTCTTCAGCTTCCTGCGCCAGTTCGCGAACCAATTGCAAATCTGGGTGTAGGTCAGACCAGTCTCCGCAGCAAGCTGTTTTTTCTCCTCCCTGCTGGGATAAGGATTCTCGCGGCGACGAATCAGCCAGTCCTTCAGCATCCTCTTGATGTCGGGCGTAAACAGACGCTTGGTGGCTCGCATAGGAGGCTGGAGATCCTCCGGTGGCCAGGCGCGTCTGGAAAAGTGCACAGGGAAAATAGTTAAAGTCTAGACTATTTACCAAAGAACCCACCTGCTGTGACGACGATTTCGTTTGGGCCGCGTTGACTTCTCCATGACGGTCTGAAAACAAAGAACGTGAATAAAAACTGGCACACCATGGCTCATCGCATATTTTTTAAAAATACCCTGTAAGTCCATTTAGTTTCAGTGGGTGGCGCTATTTCTGGCCAACGGATTTTCATGTTTTTTGGTTCTGAGGCTGTTTTCTTTATATTCCTGCTCTCAAATTAACAGAATAAATATTTTGGTTCTCACATCTAGAGAGATCGAGAGCAAGATTTGGATACTACGGCAATCCAGAGAGAAGTTTACTTTTCGTAACAGATGTAAGAATCTGTAAAGGGCACCGTTTTTCCTCCCACGACTGCCCAAAATTAGTATTCATGCCAAGGTGGGAGAGATAGTTGTTCATGTTTTCCGAATTCAGTTGAAAAATTCATTGATAAGATCAAAAAATCATGTTTTTTCTTGACCGAACTGTACGAAAATATATTTATATTCGAGTTCCTAAGTGTGACAATGACCAGGTATTTCATACTTAGTGGGCGTGACCCTTAAATGACATTTTTGGCTTCTCCGACATTTGGAAACTTTTGGGAAAAGTCCAATTACTCAGAGGATGCATCACTTTTGTTGACATTCTCAGGCGATTGTGGTAACATGAATTATATAATTCAAACCTAACACTATTGACTTATTTTTCGGCACCATAATAAATTAGTTTACATTTATTTAAACCTCTTTAAAACTTAAACCATTTAACTCTTCGGTTCTCCAATAATATCTGCACCCACCTGTTTTTGGCTTATATTTTCTGATTATGTTTCGTTATATTTCAGAACTTTGAAGGCGAAGAGTGTTTGTGCTTCGCTCGACGTTCTGGGGCAAACTGATCTCCGAGAAAAGTTTTCAAAACAGTTCGAAGAGGAACGGAGACCAATGTATCATACGAGTGGGGGGCTTTTAATCTATTTACAAAATACAACTAGATATGTGTGCTTATTTTAAAATTATCGCAGTTTTTCGTCATGGGAAATCGGTGAGAATCGAGAGAATCTAAATTGATCGTGCTCTGTTGTTTGCGAATTACTTTTACTCTCGATGGGATATTCTGTGGTGGGGTTGCGCTGGGTCGGTGGCCATGACGTTTTTTAATTATGTCGCTAGTATTAATACATGTTACTTATACAATTTCGTTATTGCTTTACTTCAGTTTCCTATTTACACAAAACAGTACTAATCATTATCTTATTAGAATTATCTTTCTAGTACATTTAAATTGTGAGGGCGGCAATATACCAATTGTTGGCTTTGTAGCCGGATGGGCTTTGTGTTTGGTTCCAGGTGGAATTGTAGTCTAGAGCCAACTTTTATTAGCCCCGACTGCTTCTTTTGAAGAAGAATATTAAAGTTGCATCCACCCTTTTCCGGTGCGACTAAAGCCATGGAAAGGCCACATTCCTCTGATATAGCCAAAACTTTAATTGTGTGGGTGGCTACTCTATCTTTTATATGACGCTGATCCATGCGTACATTTTTCAGGAATCGCCGAAAATCGTCGGCATAGCCTCCTCTTAAAAAGCGTTGATTTAGCTTTAAATTTACTTTCGGTGAAATTGGTAAGTACTGCTTGGGACTTTCCTCCGGCACAAGTTTGATAACTGGAGAGAATTCCGACCAACTGGCGTTCAGGTGCTGGGAACATGTTGACAAACTGGTGTTTTCCTTAGAATCTTGTTGACTGCTGTTAGTTGCGGTCTTTTTCATCGCCTGCCAGGTTAAATCAAATACCTTCGGATTGTTTCTGCGGTGGGAGGACGCGCACTCCACCAAAAGGTTTCTTCCATTGACAATTGGTGAGTTAAGGTCTTTGGCCGTTTTCCCAGGAGTATGGGATGAAGGGGTTACTTTGAGCTCCATATTTGTGACCACGGTAGGAGTCGTTGAGGATTTCTGGACCACAAGGGGCAAGGCTTTGGCTCGTCGCTTCGTTCCCGGCCAACTGGTGTTAAGAAGTTGGGAACAAGATAAGACACTCGTGTTTCCGGGAGCATCCGGTTGACTTCTGGTAATTTCAGTTTTTTGGAGTGCCAGCCAGGATGAATCAAACCTGGACAAAGTACTTCTGGGACGAAGGACTGCGGCTTTGACCAAAACACTCCTTTTATCGGCTCTTGGTGCGTTAAGGTCGTTTGGTGTAGGGAGCTGTTTAATCCTTGGAGCTTCACTATCCGGGTTGTTCTGGTGATCGTCGACCTCCGAGGGAAACGTAAGTTTACGTTTGGAGCTCATACTTCTTTAAGGAGGACCACATTAGAAGTACATAAATATCGATGCATGGATGCTTATAAAATGGCGCTCACATTTATACATTTTGATTTCTTTTGTTTTTGTAAAGTAAACAAATATAAAACATTGTATGATCACATATCGGCATTTTTTTTAGGAAATTTTAGCTGGGGCTCGGCAGTATATCCATTTTTCAGTATTTAATTCCAATTTTAATACCACCAAAGTTAGTGCTTTCCAGCACTGCAATTACGGTTTTGCGCACAACCTTTTGAATGCTAGATCTTTAATTGAACTTCGCATCGTTGTTCGATTTTCTGCTCAGGAAGACTGATGAAAGTACTTCTTAGTAAACAATTTAAAATATTTGTTGTCCAGAGTTGCCGGATAGCAGAAAACCAAATCAGTGCAACCGTATTGCGGTTCGTAAAAGATACCATCGAATAGGCAACGCTGACAAGTAATACGGTTAAATTTAGCACCTTTCGCTGGGCAATTGTTTATATCTGAAACGTAATAGCGCAGCGCAGGGTTAATTGGACAATAGAATTCGGAAAATTGCCGGCAGCCATGAACGAATCGGTGCGCTACGACCGTTGTCAACAGGTGCAGCTGGGCGTCCTAAGCGAGTCGCAGGTGTCCTCCGTCGAGGAGGACGTCCCTAGTCTGCCTCCGCAGGGAACGGGCAACGTAAGTGTCTCTGACTCGCCCCTTGTGTTTTTTGTTTTCGCCTGACTCATTATTTTATTGGGGCCATTACGTGTTTTCGGATACTACCTCCACAGATCCTGTTCACCCACGACGGCGTGCTGCTGAAGAAGGCCAGCGCCGAGCACATCGCCGACCTGAACACGAGTGGCTCCCTGTCACTGGTGGAGTACTCGCGGACCTCCGCGGATTTGCCACGCAGGAGACTGCTGCTGGAGTGGCAGCCCAACGACAGCATCATGATTGCGGACGACAGTCAGGACCAGGGGGACTGGGCCCTGGTGGACAGGATTTCCGGACGAACTCGCACCACCTCCGAGTGTCGTGCTTTCAACACGAAGCCCAGTGAACCAAGTGGCGTGGCTGCCACCCGCTCCCGGATCATGCGCGTCCATCTGGAGGATTTGTCCTCCGTTGAGGTCCGCCATCGCGGACAGACCATCCGCTTTATGCGCAAAGGAGCCGGTGGCCTGCACAGCGAGTTTTTCTTCCAGCACGGAAACGCTGACCTCTTTGTGCGCTCCATGCGCGATCAGCACTTCATCGAGACCGCTGAGACCAGTCGCAGTGGCGGAGAAGAGTACGCCATCCTGACCACTGAGAACCAGAAGCTGAGAAAGACTTTTGCCGAGCTTGACATCGGTCAGATCAAGGCGAGCCATTTGCCGCGCGAAAGCTGGTTACCCAACAAGCTGGTGGGGTTTCTAGGCAACATTCCCGATTACGTGCAGCCGCCTTTCCAGCGCTCGCCTAAATCTCGTCCAGGAGCACTGATCACTGGCGATCGCCAGACCTCACCGGACAACTATCAGATCATAGGACTAAGTGGGAGCACCAATAGTGCCTGTTCATCGAACGGACAGAGTCGTGGGGGCAGTGCGGACAAGTCCCCGGCCGACAGTGAGCTGGATAACCTAAATGCCCAGGACGAAAAAATAGTCAACAATTTGCCGGATCGCCAGCGAGTTGAGCGAGGTAAGTTTTCGACGAACCTATACCAAAGTTTCGTTATTTCCTGTCCCCTAAACGAAAGGTTGACTTGATTGTTATAACCTCGTAGCCGAAAGTTCATTTTTTTTGGTAATTTAAATTTTATCAGAAATACTTCTTATTGAAAATGCACTAATCAGAATCAGAACTACATGAACTTAATGACTTACCCTTCTTTTACAGGCCCTCCTCTCACGGAGACACAGTGGCTGGAGTTCCAGACGCCCGACGGTCGAATTTCAGACAGCGTCCGCATCAAGGAGCTCATCTTCCGTGGCGGCATCGTGCACAGCTTGCGGGCAGAGGTGTGGAAGTTCCTCCTTAACTATTACCAGTGGTCCGATACCCAGGTGGAGCGGATCGAGCGCCGTAAGCAAAAGTCAATTGAGTACTACAATATGAAAGCCCAGTGGCTGGCCATGACGACGGTGCAAGAAGCGAACTTTTGCGGCTATCGGGAGCGCAAGTGCCAGATCGAGAAGGATGTGAAGCGCACAGATCGGTCGCTGCAGTTCTTCGCCGGCGAGGATAATCCCAATCTAGCTCTGCTGCAGGGTATCCTTATGACCTACGTGATGTACAACTTTGATCTTGGCTATGTTCAGGGAATGTCCGATCTGCTTGCGCCCATTTTGGAGATCCAGGTGAATGAGGTGGATGCCTTCTGGTGCTTCGTGGGCTTCATGGAGCTGGTGTTCACCAACTTTGACATGGACCAGGCGGGCATGAAGACTCAGTTTGCCCAGGTCCGTCGCCTGATCGAGTTTGCCAATGCTCCGCTGTTCAACTACATGCGATCCCATGATTCGGACAACATGTACTTCTGCTTCAGATGGCTACTGGTGTGGTACAAGCGGGAGCTGAGCAACGAGGACGTCCTTAAGTTGTGGGAGTGCCTGTGGACTCGGCTGCCATGTCCAAATTTTCACCTGCTCTTCTCGGTGGCCATTTTGGATCAGGAGACGAGCGTGATAATAGAGAGTCAGTATGAGTTCACAGAGATCCTGAAGCATGTCAACGAGCTGTCTGGCAATGTTGATGTCCAAAAGACCTTGCAGATTGCTGAGGCCATTTACCTGCAGCTCAAGGCCTCGGAAACACTTCCCAATGACATCCGTTGCATCATAGGGGAACCACTTCTGCCAACAGCCGCCGGCGAGGAGGTTGACGGAGGCTTGGTAGATGAGGAGCCTGCCTATTCGGATGATGGCTTCGACGAGCTAGTAAGGGAACTCACTCCCGAAGAAAAGCTCCGCCAGCAACATTTACTGGAAGAGGCCTGCGAACGATCCCTCTTCCTGCAGTTTCACTAGTTCGAATGGGAACACCTCGTACGGACACCTGGAAAAAACAAAGCCAAAAGCCCTTAGCAAAGCATGCGCAAATTACACTGCCCTTCAATATTCTTTGCTCACAAGATCATGTTTGGGGTTGCCATTTAGAATCCCAAAAAGCTGGGAACTCATATAAATTTCCTGTTAAAGAAAAGGCTCCTTCGAGGAACCGAATTTGTCCATCTAACTGCAGGTTAAATATATCAAACCTCAAATAATATCAATTTTTCGTGTTCAACACGAACATCCCAAAAAATTATGTTTTTAGTAAAACAAAAGCTTATTTGTAGGGCAGTGTTATCTTAGACTCTAAGACTCAAAGTTTACCAACGCATCGAAGCAAAGCGAAGCGGGCCAAGTGCTTTAACTGCTGATACACATATTTATATAATGTATACTATACATACATATTTGTACGTTTTTGTAATTATTGTAAGTTCTTTCCCTTACCCTAACAGCAAATCACTTTCCCTATTCGATCACCCCTAAGTATACCAAAACAACTTTTTTAATATATATTAGATTTAGTTCTCGTTTTTGTCGAGCTCGAAACATTTGAGATATCCCTTTGTTTGGTTCAACAGAATTTTACATGCGCAGCTTTTGTTGTCTTTTTCTAAGTTTACTCAATTACTGTGAATATACATCGATTAACAAGTACATTAAAATTGCGTAGTAAATTTAAATACAACACCGAATTGCACACAAAAAAAAACACAAATAGTTCATCTTTTACTGGGAAATATTTTATTTAGGGGCTTATCAACATAAAGGTCACAACAGAACGGCATAGCACGTCGAAGCGTCGATCGACCGTCTGGAACTTGTATGCTCTTTGACCAATATCACTTAATGGTACACACATTCCAAATTAGGAAGGAAGAAATAAGTTAAGATGGAAGATTTATACCTTTATTTGATTAGATCTCAAAGTGGTTTATCTCTTAAGGTTTGTTCGGTTATTTTAAGCTTGTTATTTAAATCAGGACTTGCTTTTGTACCAACCGAATTTTGCAAGGCTTTGAGCACCCCCTATAAATTTATACATGGTATACAACTCACCTACGACACACTTGAATTGGTAGCGTCCCAACCGATGATATTCATTCTTCTTCCATCCAATGAAATTCATTATTTTTCTTCTTCCACAATCATTCGTCTTCTTGCATCCAATGATAACTCACATTTCGTTTTAATTTTTTTAAATTTATTTTTTATATATTTATTTATCATCAATATCAATAGTTGATGCTCGCTTGTTACTTGCTGTTGTTGCTGTAGTTGCTTCTTCTGGTTGATGTTTTGCTTTTGTTTGTTGTTCTGCAGTTATATCATAATTTTAATTAAGAGTTATACTTACAAGTTAAGTATGCAATATATGTTGGTTTTTTGTTTTGCTTTCTTCTCTTTTTTGTGTGTGGCTTTGATAACGTCTCTAAATGAATTGTTCTCGTAAAGTGCGAGCAAAAGATATCCATAATTTCGTTTACTCAACTGAATAATTCTGCGAAATGCCCTAGTTATAGCATAGCTCCTCATCAAACGTGCAAGATTCATATTCTCCGATTCTCAATTACATTAAAATTGATTTAATTAAAAAATTCTATTTTTAAATAAACATTTTTCCATTTGTTTTGTTATGCGGCATGTCTGCTTATGGGATTTTTGTTCTTCATGAGACGCACGAGTGCATTTTAAAACATACAAATTACAAATACATGAAATTAAAAGACACACTTGAACGATTGATTCTTGCCTTTAGCATTCCACTCCTTTCACATTCACTAATTACAAAATTAAAATTATCAAAATTACACGCAGTTGTCGTGGGACACACAGAGAGAGTAGAGAGAACAGTATACAATACAACATAGTGGGTGGTGGAGGTGTGGAAAATGATTCAGTATAAGAATACATGGTGCCTTACTATATTAAAAACGGTTAAGCAATGCGAGAGCCATTTAAATATTATAAATTATGTACAGGTATCATATATAGAGACTTTGCATGTGTGAGGACAGCGCAGGAAACCAAAGTATCTGTTTCTCGTTTTGTTGTGTATGGATATATAGTCTATTATGTAAACATTCTTGCTGTCGCTTATTAATTATGTGTGTGGTTGCAATAATTTAAACGGATAATCTTTATGCAGCAGCACTTTGCTTCTCTCGTTACAATTAAATTATAAGCGCTTTTTAATTATGTTCGTAACTGTATGAATATTTAAGCAGCCAGAGGGAGGGAAGCGATTGACTTATCAAGCTCCATTTATGCAGCAGATGAATCTTGAGTAAGCCATCAGCTGGGGACGGCGCCGTGCCCTGCAATTCAGACGGAGTTGCAGCAGTGTCTAATTGCAGAGCCCCGACAAGCCCCCATCCACTCCCTCTGCATTGGCTCCTAACCTCTATATATAGTTTATATATGCTTCTTATACTTTACACAACTTTAAGCTTAAGGGATCTAGTGGTAACAGTTAGCCTAGCATTCAATCTTCGCCTCGATCTCGTTTGCATTCGCTTCTGCAACTTGTTTCTCGTCATCTTCCTGTCCTTGATTTTCTGCTCCGGTTGTTGTGGTGGCTGTCTAGTGGTGGTGGTGGCTCCTCCTCCCCGTAATTTTCTCCTGCCCTTCGGAGGAGCCATGTCATCCTGCTAGCGCTGGCGCTCGGATCTGCGCAATACTCATTCGTTCCGTTCCTCCGCACCTGACTCGCTTCCTGTGGAAAGATTTAGCGTGCTGGCATCCGCTGAGGAGCGGGTGTGTCGCGTGGATCGGAGCTCCCGTCGCTTCTCAGGCGGTTGTCCTTCCACGGAACCAGATCCCTGTTCGTTTCCAGACCTCGGACGCTTCAGGCGATTTGAGGAGCGACGATTCTCTTCGGCAGCCGCTGCTGCAGCCGCTGCGGCCGCCGCAGAACTGGAGGATGAGCCACTCAGATTAGCCGCTGATGTATTTCCAGCAGTGTCCAAATCCTCCACGCTTCCCCCATGACTGCTGCCTGGATTCGCAGCAGCCGGCTTCTTGAGTATGGGTTGTATGATCAACTCATCGGCTTCTTCATAGGGAGGCGGTAGTTTAGCTGCGTCGGCTGCATTAGTGATGGTTAGCGAGATGCGCGACTCGGAGCGCTCGGAACGCTCGCTGCTAGTGCTAGCTCCGCTGCTTATGGGAGGAGCTATGGTTATTGTGGTTTGACTTGGCAGATTTGCTGCCAGTCCCGCAGCAGCCGCTGAGCTAGATGAGGAGCTTGATCCACCTCCAGAGGCATTAAGGGGAGTCAATGTAACCTTATCCTGTTCCGCAGACATGGGCGCTGGCGTGGAGCTGCTGCTGGAGCTGCTTCCGCCTCTTAGACTCTTCTCTATGCTGCTCATGCTGGCTCCAAGATTTAAAGGTAGTCCTGCTGCAAGGGCAGCTGCAGTCAGTTCCTCCTTTGTGGGGTGCATATCGCCACGAGAGCGTTTAGAAAGCGCCTTCTGTTGTTGTTGATGTTGTTGCTCTGCATCTAAAGCTGCAGCGTAGGCAGCTGCTGCTGCGTTTGCTGAACTGGACGATGCAGATGATCCACCCGACGAGGAGGTAGGTATTAGGGAGATTCCCGATCCCAGGCCCAGGGTCTTGGTGTAATAGTCCATCTGTTGTTTGAAGGCATCCTGTTCACGCTGTCGTTTTGAAGACGAATGGCTGCCGCTTCCTGAGGTGGAGGAACCTCCTCCACCGGCTCCTCCTGCAGAGCCCCCAGTTAAGCCAGCCAAACTGGCTAAAGAACCAGGACCACTCAGTGGCAACGATCCGCCAGCAGCCGCCATTGCCTGGGCAGCCATCTCAGCCAAGAAGGCTTGTGAAAAATCACTGGACATTCCAGGGATTTGTGGCAGTTGCGCTGCCGCCGCCGCTGCTGCTGCCGCAGCTTTCGAACTCTTGCTTGAGGATGTGGACGTTCCCGTATTTGAGCCGGATGTCGATGGCATTTTACCCTGCGAGAAAGCCTGCAGGGCGGCTAAATCGGTGGGCAGTGCTCCGCGGGCCAGACTCTCGAACCACTTTTGCTGTTCCTTGGCCTGAGCGTTGGCTTCACTAGCTGCCTGGCTGCTTCTCTTGCTCGAAGATGAGTTACCAGCTCCAGAAGAGCTGGGGGTCCCGGGCAGCGGCGGCATTCCTAGGGAGCTCATCAATCGAGTGGCCTGCGCCAAATCCATGTTGCTCATGCGGCTTAGCGACTCGAGAAGATGCGGATCCGCACCTGGCATAAGTAAACTGCTCAGTTGAGCCATGTCTGCCGCTGTGGGCGTTGTTTGGGATTGGCTTCTGCTGCTTGACTGCCTGCCACGTCCGGATCCGGATGCTGAGGTTGAGGGCGTGGTCACTGTGCTGGCACTCCCTCCCATACTAGCCATGGCGTTCATCAGACTTGCTGCTGAGTTAGCAGTTGCTGTGGCGTTTCTCGATTGACTGGACTTCGATTGCGATTGATGGGACTTAGACTGCGTGGAGCTTGTGTTCGACGCGGATGAGGTGGCTCCATTTAGCAGGTTGTACTGCTGGGCCAGCTGATCGTATGCGGAACCAAGACCGCTGGATCCCAGTGAATACGGATTCAGGCCACCTAATCCCATGGGCGGATACAGCAATGACGGATTCGGAAATAGGAAGGGGAATCCTGCAGCCAATTGGGACGCAGAAGCTGCGGCGTTCTTGCCACCAGCTCCGCCAGACGATCCTCCAGTGCTAGCGCTGATAGCAGCCGCCAATTGAGCGGCTTCATTTTGTGCCTGTTGCTGCTGCTGTTGTTGCTGTTGCTTCTTCTTACTGGCCGAGGAGGATGAGGAAGCAGCGGATGAGCCACCACCCGACTGTGACTGCGACTGGCTCTTACCGGAACCCGCTCCTCCGGACGCACCAGTCAATCCGCCAAGAGTTGGTCCGGCAGCAGCCATGAGCGCAGCCAGCGACTGGGTGTCCATCCCCGCCAGATTGCCCAATCCTCCCATTCCCGCCAAGCTGGCAAACAGATTCATGTTGTTCAGGTTACCTAGTCCAGGAATATTACCCATTCCGGGCATTCCTCCGAATGACATGGATAGCAGCGGATTCTTCGGGTCGAATGCAGCCAGTGGATTCTTGGGATCAAACGCTCCTAGTCCGGGAAGATTGGCCAGCAGACTGGGATTAAGACCGGCGAGGGAGCCAAATTGTAATGCAGCTTGATCCAAGGCAGCTGATGCCGCCGTTTGCTGGCGGGATGATTTTTTGGAGCTGCCAGAGTTCCCTCCCGCTGGAGATTGGGCTGAAGATGATTGTTGCTGTTGCTGGGTGTGGGACGAGGACGAGGCGTTACTCGAGTTGGACGACGGCCGACCGCCGTGCGACTTTACTGCCGAGGAGCCGTAGCTGCTGTCCATTGATGTGGGTTTGGGTGACGGTGCTGACATGGGATTTTGCATCTGTTCTAGCCACTTTGGATCCACTTCGTAGTTGGGGTTCTCAGTGAGCCTGTGATGAAAGATTGTATTAATTTCAGGGATAAGTTTTGGTTTATATTAACGGAACACTCACCATTGCATAAGTCGCTTAAGTTGCGGCGCTTTGTTACCTCCCAAACGCTTGCCAGTCTGTTTATTGATCACTGGTACAGGTTCCTCTCCTGTCAGGTTCTGAGGCCCAGCCATCGAATGTTGCTGCTGTTGCTGCTGCTGCTGCTGCTGCTGTTGTTGTTGCTGCTGCTTCTGCATCTGAGCGGCACTCGAAGATTGCTGCGATGAGCTGCCTTGCTGGCGGTTTGAGCGCCGGCTGTTGGCACTTCCAGAACCACTTGCTCCGCCACTGCCCACGTAATCAATACTGAGCTGGTCGCCCAGTGGACTTGTCATGTCTGACAGCCACTTGTTGACCTTGACGTCGTGCGGTGAGTTGGTTGAGAACTTGGAGCTGATCTTCATGGCCTGCTCCATCTCGGCCAGCATGTTTTCGTACGCCTTTCGTTGGGCAGGCGGAAGGAACTGCATCATCTTCTGCTGTTGCTTGAGGAACGTCTGCGGATCGGTGGCCATTGTCTGGGCCAGCAGGGCATTTAGACTGTCCTTGGAGGACAGTCCTCCCATTGCCATGTTCTGCAGGGCGCTCAGCCCGCTGCCGCCGGCACCTCCGCCGCTGGCCGATGAGCTTCCTCCGGCGCCTGATCCTCCGCTGGACGATCCGCCCTTGGACTCTGTAAAAGATAGATACATTCGATTAGTGGGTAACTCTTGTGGATAAGTGCCAATCCTCGGGCGGTGAAAAAGTAAAAGCGCAGAGACTCAAACTCACTTCCGGGCACTGTGGTAACAGTGATGGTAAAGGGTTTCTGGTTGGACTGCTGGCTGGCAGAAGATTGCAGGTTTGCTGGCGTCACTGAGACGCTTGGCGGGATCTGTGGCTTTTTCGAGGACGGCAGCGATGGGTCAGGGAAAGTCTTTTGTTCCTTTGCTGCCGATAAGCCGAGCACGATCTCGTCCAACTTCTTGCGCTTTTTCTCCTTGCCAATCACAGGCTCTTCAATAGTCTGTAATAAAACAAAGTTAAGTGGTGTAATTTATTTGAAGGTTATAATTTAAAAAACCGATTTTTGTTTGAGAACTGCAGGAAATAAAAACTTACGCAGTTATTCTTTTTCATCAGTTTGTTAAGGGTGTCGTCCAGTTTGCTCTTGCTGCCCATTGAGGGAAAGGCGGAACTTAGCGCAGCATGCACACTGGACTTCTTGGAGGGCATAGAGAAGTCTTGAACCTCACTCAAATCGATGGCTCCCGCACTGGAGGCCGACTTCAGCATCTCAGTCATGTTCATCTTCGGCAGGCTGCTGCGAGTAAATTTCAAATATATAAGTAAAACATGAAATGTAATAACCTATTTTGGCGAACCCACCTTGAGGAAAGATCCATTGGTGCGCCCATAGAGGGTGGAGGTGTTTTCAGGGCGGGGACAGCTGGCTTGCTAAACTGACCAGAGGACTGTCGCGAGAGCGAAGCATGTTGATGGGCTGGGGGCGGCTGCATGCCACTCAGGGCAGAGGAGTTACCTCCTCGACCACGACCAGAGGAGCCTGTCAAGGCTTCCATGTTGGCAATCTCACTCTCCCAGTCTTTGGGGGCCACTAAAATAAAAATAAGATTAATTAGTAAAGGAAAAGGTACCAAAAGTAGGTAGACTTACTTGTTGAACTATTAAGCAGGGCGTGCAGTTTAGCCCTTTCCGTCTCTACGTCGATGGCGATGTGTCGCTTGCGCTTCTTGCCCACAGATCCAGCACTTGGGACATTCAGCCCGCTCACCCCTCCGGATGAGGAGCCAGTTGCCGCACTCAGCGACATTCCGGGGAGCAGAGAAGATAGCGAGGTGGCATTTCCACCCGCGGCAGCTGCAGCCACTGCCGCCGCCACCGCAGCATTGATACTTTTGGCATCCAAACCAGGTAAGCTGTTGCCAGACGATGGCTTCGATTGAGTGACCTGGGGTATTCCCGAGGACGAGGTGGCAGCGGACGCTGAACTGGCCACCTGCTGCATATGCGAGGACTGCAGGTGTTTTGTTACGCCCTGATCCGTGGTGATGGTAATGACATCGGGGGTTGTAGAGCGGCGCTCCAAACTGCTCAGGTGAGGAATAGATTCGTGAAGAGCAATGCTCAGATCAGTGGCACCCTTGCAGCTGGCAAAGGCACTGTACTTGCTATCCACAGGCCACTTTCCAGACTCGACGCAGGCCACGATGTGCGCAATGCGGCGCTCCAAGGCGAAATCCTTGAACCATCGGATCATGCACATCTCCAGCTTGGGCTTCTCCAACTTCTGCTGCTTGACAGTCGCGGGTTGGATTACTTCTAGATCCGGGAAGCGGGCTTTAAGTTCGGCCGCCTGCTTTTTACACTCCTCTTCTACGGCCTTCTCCTTCTCCTTCATCACCTCGTCATCGTCAGGATCTGAAGGACCAGCCACTAAGTCGAGAATCTCCTGGTCACCCGCAGGTTTCTTGGGAGCAGCTGACTCAGATTCTGAAGGAATTGGGGATTTTTCAGAAGGCTCAGCTTCTGCGATTGATTGAGGATCTTTCTCCTTATCTTCTGTTTGCTCCATTGACTCTTCCTTTGATTCTTCTGCTTTCTCTTCATCAGTCTTTACAACAGCCTTTTCTTCAGATTCCTTTTCGGAGGATTCCAAATCTGCAGTAGATTTTTCTTCTGCTTTAGAGGCAACTTCATCAACCTCCATTTTCGAGTCTTCTTCTCCAGGAGCTTCAGATGTTTTCGGTTCTTCCTCTGTAGATTTTTTCTCCTCTGCCTCAGGGGATTTTTCAGGAGAACCTTCCTTCTCCTGACCATTTTCGGCAATGGATAACTCCTCAGTTTCCATTTTCTCTTCGCTGGGCTTGCTTTCTTCAACTTCTGGTACCAATTTTTCAGTACTGGATTTATCCTTCTCTAAATTTTCGACTTCGTCAGCCAATTCCTTTTCTGTGGTTTCTGCCTTTAAATCTCCTACATCCTTGACTTCAGCTTCAATATTTGTGGGCTCTTCTACCTCTGATTTCTTAGCTTCGGGACTGTCAGTAATATCCTTCTTTTCTGGACTTTCTTCCGCCTTAATTTCATCTTTTACAGGGGTAGCAGGAGTTTCCTTTTTGATGACGCTCTCATCGGTCATGAGTTCATCATCTAGATCTATGACTTCATTCTTGACGGAAGCTGCTTTTTCTGCTGCCGCCTTCTCAGCTGCCGCTGCTTTTTCAGCTGCCGCTAACTTCTCGGCCTTTTCGGCGTTAAAAGCCTCTAGTTTGATGGTGCGCTGGATCTGAGCTTCCAATTCCCGAATGAAACGCTTCTCGGACTCTCCGAAACTGAAGTTTGGATCATTAAAGATAAAGGTCTCTGAGCGATAAAGTCCGTGCTTAAGGACGGCAGTGATCAATTCCTTGTCGTGCCGACCAGGCTCCCACCAATCTGGAGTATCAGCATTCTTTGTGCAAAGTTTTAAGCGTTCCTCCAAAATGGGATTACGAGCCACTTCCCGGAGCTTGGCAAGTACTTCCAGGCGATCCAGTATGAGCTTGGCGTGCTCCTTCTCGATTTCCTCGATGATGCCTTCTAGGCCGCGCTCCGATTCTGTGAGCTTCAAGCCCGCCTGCCGTTTGCACATGGCCACAAAGACCTTATAGTAGTCCGTCAGAGTTTCATCACTCTTTCTTTCCAGGTGAGCCATCTGCTTGAATTTCGTCCAGTCGGGCGACAGAGAACTTCCATTGGAACCCATAGATGTGGATAAGTGTAGGTCCACACCGTAGCCGGTAAGAACTCTGAGGAATTCGTATTCTTCCCGGCGATTCCACTTCTTGGGAATCAGTTGAAGGCGCTGGGACTCACGTTCTTTGGCCGCCAGTTCTATCTTGCCCTGCCGCTCCATTTTCTGTAAAAATAACAGCAAAAATTAGCAATCGTTTGGACGGGAATTCCTGTAAAAATTTTAGACTTGAAAAAAGTTATTTAGAGGTACCGATTGATTTTTATTTGTGCAATAAGCCGGTCTTTGTTATAAATATAAGGTTGTTTTATAATGAGCTTTGAATGGTTATGTTAGGGTACTAATTAGATTCCATACCAACCCTGATAACAGCTTTCCCACATTTTCCAAAAGATTTTTTAGATAGCAAAACCACTTAGATAACATCCTACATTTACATATTTTCTTCTAATTTAAACTATTACTATTCCCAAAACACTTCCTAGAAATAGATAATTACTTGTTAACTGTGTCATGACTCAATAGATTAGGTTGATGCCTGATCCGATCACATAAACAATTCCAGTAATTTTTTACTAAGAACCTAGATAAGATAATACCAACTACGTCGCAAGCGTAGTTCATAATGTGCGTTTCACAATCTTACGGAATTTAATAAAGCTAAATTAGAATACACGATATAGTCAGATACTATGGAAATTATATCGAATTAGGTCAGTAACTTATTTAATTTATTAAAAAAAAAACTGTTAGGTAACATTTTCATAAAAGCGTTTGCTAAGATTCTGCATTTGTCTAATAAGAGTTACTGTAATAGTAAACGATGTAAGATAAGTACTTCAAAAAATAAATTGGTTGCATTTATTCCAAATAACTTTCAAGAAATGTGATGCATTTTTAATTTCTTTATACTAGATATAGACATTTTATTGTGCGACTTTTTAAAAGTATTTATCAATTATTGCACTGTATTGTATAATTTATTGTGAACACAGATGCAAATATACATATAATCGCTTTTTGCATACTTCTATACTTTATATCCATGCAATTATAACAAAGTTGGGAAACCCCGTGAATACACACATAAAGAGAACACCCCCGATATGTGATGTGTGCATTTTGCAAGTGCAAATTCATTACGAATATTTACACAATTTGGCTGGGAAAAGAATTAAAAAGCGTCCACCAGGAACGACCCTTTGGCGTTGCACCACCCTTCCCTGATTCCCAAAGGGGTGGTATCACCCAGAGCTCTGTGGTGGTGGTGCTGTGGGGTGGCGGCGATAGGACGACCTCCCTCGTCACCATCATCATCATCTCTATATACCAGACTACAGGCTTTCGAATTACACACAAATTTTTGCGAAAGGCAAAAACAACATTGAAGCTAGCGGAAAGACAAAATGCGAACGGCAAACGCAAAAAGAAAATGAGAGCGAGACAAAGGCGCAGAGAGAGGCGACCGAAACTGGAAATACAATAAAATCATAATAATAAAAGTAAAAAATCCATTTTACACCCCTAATAACGCTCCGGCCGGAGGACAGAGCACAGAGGACAGAGGCCAAAGGGCGAAGGCAACAGAGAACGAGGTGGAAATAGAGACACGGCACAATAAGCACGGGGCACATGTACGCCGTACTAAGCAATGGCGCCCGCAACAAAGGGGCAGGCAAGGAGGCTCGAAACAGAGACGGAGACAAACAAATGAATCCTGTGAGACCAATTGCACGCGCCACAGCCAAAGAAGCTCGTTCACTCCCCCACCCACATCCACTGTACACCCTGTTTCGTTCGTCGGTTTGGATGTTATGATAATAATAATAGGGGCACACACTGCCGTAAAGTCATACTCAACGAAGGGGCAAGAAACAAAGTCAGAGGCAGCAAGTACACAAAATTGCATGGGACCCTAGTGGTAAGGCAACCCAGTGAACAACATGAAAACAGATATTTGGATACCCGATGTCAGTAGATCCTTCACTTTTTTGGCGTGCTAATTCCCTTAAACATTTCGAATATGCACATTAAGTCTGACTAGTCTGAAGGGCACACTATATGAAATGCAATATTATTCCATATCCCTTAAAACATAATTACGATAACGAATATTTTATAGTTTGTTTCGAAAAGTTTACAAAATGATTCCTTAATTTCCTATATTATTTTGGATTTACAATCCATAAATCCTTAATAAAGGACAAGGCGTTATAATGGCAGTTTAAGGAATTTAGGGTGTTTAAGGTGTTAAACAATTGTTCCCTGCAGTTTCTCCATATGCGTGGGCAACTCTGATATCTTGAACTAAAACTAGCTAATAAACAATAACCCCTTCACACCACAAGTACGGGTACATTTCCGGTAAACGACAGGTATGTGGAAGAACGACGGCAAGTGTTGCCAAGTTGACAAATAAATGCATAACCGAACCGCATACTCAATGCAATCCTTCACAAGATTGCATAGTGGTTGTACATGTTCGGGATACTTTCGAGTGTCTGTGTGTTTAGGGCTCCAAATCCTTTTGGACCGGATCCAAAAGGGAAAAAAAGGATGCCAAGTGTCGCGCAGGTTGGCAACTCTGTCTGCTTCCCTGTTTCTGTTTATACAGCTAACGGCTTTTTTTCCCTAGTTCTTCCACCAACCCCCTTCAAAAGCCCCCCAGAAGCAGCCAACGAACGATGGCATAACGAAATCCGAAAAGGGGGACAAACAAAAACAAACGACAAAAGAAGATAAAGCGCCTGTGACTCGAGGCCTGCGCCTCTCGCTCGCACTCATTGCTAGTGGCATAATGCCTTTCCCTCTCTCGCATTTACACGATACAAGTGCGAGGCAACTCGAGCGATTGATTATGATTAGAACCGATGGCGATGGCTATGGCTACAACTATATGGCGAGGGCTGCCACTGCGACTTCGTCTTGGACTTGGAGACGGTGGGCGAGGAGCGGGGCGAATGAGAGAGCGAGATAGGGGAGCAGTAGGCAGCCGCGGAAAAACGAATTTAAATGAGCACCGCTTCGAACAGCCAGCAAATAGATAAAACACGAGTACTGTTGCACACAGTGACGGTCAAAAAATTAAGTAGAGCCCCGTGGGGTTTGACAAATGGATTGGGTATTTAATTTTGTAGTTTTTTAATTGTTTCCAATTCTCAAAACGATCTCTACCATTGGCCTTTTATTTATACCACTACTTTATCTCCCCCAACACTAAACACATACCATACCATGCACTGAAGGTACTTGCAAATTGCAGATAGCCACGGGTAAATGAATTATACTGAAATCTATTAATTTAGATTGACTTAACTGTAATTACTTACATTCTTACTAAGTTTCGGAATACCGCTCTAGTATTTATCTGCTTATAGGTAATGTGAGCTTCGCCAATAACCTAAGCCTAGTCCTACCAATATTACAAAACCCCTTTTTGACCCTGCTATAATTTTGACCTCAGGTGTCTTCGTGGACTTCTTCCTACTCTTCTTCAGTTGTCTTCGGCTTGGCAGTTACACATGAGATACCCTCCTACTGCCCCTCACCCCCTCGCCGTGTAAAGTGGCAACGACGTCGACGACGTTTTTCGTTCTTCGTTCACGTGAAATCTATAGGCATAAATTTATTGTTTTGTATTTTCGCTCGCTGCACAGCGAATTGAGAGCGAGAGGGAGCCAACGGGCCCCACTGGTCCCCTCCATCTCGCCCCGTCCCTCTCGCTCTCTCAAGTCTCGTTTACTTTTTCTTGATTTGCTGCCTGCACACATTCTTTGCATATTCTCTCTGTACTTTTGCATTCTCATTTTAATTAAGAGATGTGTGTCCATATAGAAATTGCCATCGCATCGCATCGCATTTGTTGTTGTATTTTTTGCATTTACCTCCAAATAAATGCCATTTCCATTGTTCAATGTTGTTGGTATCGTCGATGCAGTTGTTGCTGCAATTTGTGAAGATTTGTTGAGATGCTCGCAGAACGCCGAGAAGCTGCTGAAGTCCATGGGTTTAATAACCTCCATTTTCGGACACACACTAATATCACAGTCGCACTGGTAATCAAGAATATATATCGAAATCGCAGCCTTACGGTTTCGTCATGATTATTGATTTCAATTAAGCACTAATTATCATTCATTGCGCCCCAATGACAACTATTTGCACGTAGTTGTTGCTGTTGTTGCTTTCGTTGTCGTTGCCTCGGCAATTACATTATTCCATTCCGTTTGATTATCACTCCCTCTCCCTCTGGCGCACTCCCGCTCTCGCGATTTATCGCGTTTCGTTTTTCACGTTTCCCGTCTCGCTGCGAGTTTCCACGAGCACTTGGACTTTTTACAACTTTACACCGCGGCGCTCAAACAAATAATGAGCGGAGCGCATTGCGGACTAAAATACAAGACACACTCCTCACCCAAACACACACACACAAATGCGCGGGCAGGCAAACAACGGCGACAGCGGCTAAAATCGAATGCGAATCAGCCAGCAAGAGAGACTCAGAAGAGAGGGAGCCAGGGAGCGCGGGAGAGTGGGAAACCAAACAATCGTGAGATTAAGCCAAACGCCGTTTTGGGTGAATGTGAATATGAATGAGATGGGCTAAAAACTGAGACCGAATGCCGACTCTGAGGTGAATGAGCGTCACTTGCACCAACGGGGGAGAGCAGCAGAGAGCGTCGACTTCGGCTTCGCGAGAGAGTCCGACTCAGGAGAGAGCAGAAGCAACCTCCTAGATGTGAATGTGGCCGTGAGTGAGCGAGTGTGCACTGGATGGACGAGTTCAAGAAGCGGCCGCCGCAGCAGGCACATTGTGTCAACTGTGTAATGTAGGCAAAGAAGCAGAGCAGCAGCCTGCCACACACTCACACTCGCACCCAAACCCAAGCCCATACCCGCACCCAGGACCAAGGAGCGGGAAGAGGACGAGCACAAGGAGGAGGAGCTGGGGCACAACACACGGCGGAATCGGAGGCAAAAAAGCCAAGGCAATGAAACAAATGTACCACAAAAACTGTTGACGACACATAGAGAACGGCATAAAAGAGCGAAAGAGTGCGAGGCAGTCAACCGGAGGAGATGGAAGGGGGTAATGACGGACGCAGGACCCTGCGGAAAAAGGGATAAATAAAATAATAGCAGCAGGAGCAGCGACAGCAGAACGAGAAGGAGAAGTAAAGCCATGAAAATGGATTAAGTCCAAGAGCAGGTACAATGGGGGAACAAAAGTTAAGAAATAATCTTTAAGGAATAACGTTCGATACTCTTTCAGTGAAAACCATATGGTTGCACTAATAAATTCATATCCACACGATCTCTCATCGAGGCTTTTTAACATATCTTGGCCTCATGCTTCAAACAACTTAATTAGTTTTAACTAATCTATATACCTTAGCCCAGATAAAATGTGCATGGTACCCAGCTTTAGAATCCACCAGTTGTAATAGTAGTGGGCATGAAATTTTCATTTGTAGAAGCTCAACCATATATCGTCCAGTAACAATCTGACTTTGATTATTGACATTTTGCAATTGTTTAATTAATTCGACCTTTGGGCTATCCACATACGACACAAACACACTCACACAGAAAGAATGACGGGGAAAGAGAGGGAGGCCGTCAGAAAGTCAGAGCGAAAGATGGAAGCAGGGCCAAAGTGCGATAAGCACGTAGCCAGAGCAAAAACGAAACGAGATTATTAATCAATCCGCAAGATACAGATGCAGATACCGCATGAGTGAGCGAACCCGTGAGTGGATATCGCACACACCGAAATATGTACATACGTTCATGCATGAGTGAGCAGGGCGGATATAATCGCACAATCGATACGCGATGGCGACACATCTTCGGCAATGCACTCACTCACACCAGCGCACCAGCTAGCGTTCAAGATCGGCGAGTGGAGAGTGGAGAGCACTCTCTATCCTAAATTTGACTAAACTAAATCAGGCAGAAGAAAGAAAGAGCAGACGAGGAAATGGCAGGTAGGCAGAGTAGGCTCTCAATAAGATTAAAACTCGAACGCGGACACGTAGCCCACCGTAAATTGATGGACTGACCATTCGGCATATTGGTTAGACAGCGACTTTTCCAAATGTTTTATGACCGACAGGTGTGAAGTGAAAAATGCGCAGACGCAGCAGCTGCATCTCCAAAATCCTCTCAGTGAAGAGTGAGAGAGCGAGAAAGAGCAGCAATGAGATGCGGCAGCAACACGTGAGGCGCACGCGCACAGTGATATAAACTGAAAGGTGCATATTCTTTATGCTATAATACGAAGCAGCTTAAATTGACTTCAAAGTACATCTAATTAGTTAAACTCGTTTATTTATCCACATTTTAAGCACCTTCATAAATTCAGTATAAACTATCAAAATGCAATATTTAAATTATCCCATCCCGACTTGCCCCACTGTGCACAGTATAAGCGGCAGACAAATACTAATAAAATAATAAATCGAATGGCAGCAGCAACAGCAATGGCCAGTCTAAAAAAGAGCAACGACAGCGGTCAGCAACAAAAGCAAGAGCATCCAAGCAAGTCGAAGGTGGGACCGAAGATGGAAACAAAAAAGAATGGCAAACCCACACCGGTGCACTCACACGCACAACATGAAAGCCAGCAACTTCTCTATGCTCGGTGTTCCAAATACACGTTGCAAATGCAAAAAGGAATCAACAAAACAAAGCGAAAAATGCTTTTAAGCTGCAGCGCAGCAGCATAACGTGCAAAAAAGGCAAGTAGTGGGGAGGGGGGCTCAGTGGAATGGGAGCTCAAATGAGCACAATTAGGCGGCTTTATCGAAAACTCGCGCTATGCGAAAGAAGAGGACAGGAAAGCGAAACAGGAACAGGTCACCATTATCCCCATCTCCTTTTTTCGCTTCCAAGTCACATATTGCGCTCAATAATTCAGTTCGTGAGAGCAGAGGCAAAGAAGAAGAATCCGCAGCAGCAGTAGCAGCAGCCACCCCCCTCAGACATTTGGGTGGGCGCACACGAAAAGGAAAAAATTAAACATTGGATAAATCCAGAAAATGTAAAATTACAAACACACATCGCAGACAGCGAGGGAGCAGGACAGCGACAGCGACGGAGACGGAGAGTGAGGCACAGGCACTCTCGCATGGAAAACTAATACATACGAACAGCAGCGCAAGTACAGCCAACGTAGCTAGGCAGCAAAACCAAAACCACCCGATGATATCGAATGCCCAAACAGCAACAGCAACAACAAGTACAAGAGCAATAAAACCAAGTCGTCCACCAACGCCACTGCTAACGTCTCTGCTTGCGTCGCGGCAGCCGCAACAATCATCGTCACCAAGAAGAACTTCACTTCGTCAATACAACAACATCGGTAACGGCAGCAACAACCACTTGGCTTTGGTCTTCTTGCTGCCGCCGCCGTCTCCTTCCCCCGGCCCCCTCCTCTTTCTTGCTCCTGTTGTTGTTGTGGGTTTGATTGATGGCGCGCTGCCTTTGCTGCTGCCTCTCTGCCTTTTGATAATGGCGGCGTCGCCCATTCAGCGATGACCGCTTGAACACAAAAGATGTTTTCCGAATCTGGCTGTTTTTTGTACAATAACCTACAACATTAAGATTATCTAACAGTTTTTTTTTAAAGATAACCCATTCGTAAAGATATTTTAAAAAAGTGGCGCCCAACGAGGGATCTTGGTTTAAGGCTACTAGCGTCCCTTACCACTTCACTGTCAATATGCAATTTAATCATTTGGGTGTAGCTTATTTAAATGCGGTACTCCAAAGTATAGAGTTTAACTTGAGTGTAAACAAAAATCTTTTTTTTAAGTGGCGCCCAACAAGGGATGATTGCTTTTAGGCTGCTAACGTGTTCCCATGGTAGGAGGCAATTTAATAATTTAGCTTATTAAAGTGGGGTATTCCACAGCATAGAGACTATACATAAGCTTCATTTAAAAAATAAATATTTAATAAATTGGCGCCCAACGTGGGATCAGTCAAACGGCCTTTGGATATATGGTTTAATCCTATACTATGATTAAAACCTGGTCAAACGAAATAATGTCTTACATAGAGCAAATTGTGACTAGCACTTTAAATAAAGGGGTAAATTTGTCGCCCTAGGGTATATGTACATAACCTGAAACACTTAAATCCTTCCTATCTCTGAGTTAGCTCGTATTCAGCGCATCTCTAACGTCTGCCACTACAGTGGGATTGCCGCAAATCGAAGCGTCAGGTTGTACAATTGACTCTGGCTCTTCGCTTTGGCTCATAATTTGACCCAAGCCTTTTGGCCAACACGTTGCGGGTTCCACTGTTCTGCCGCGTATCGTCTGCTGTTGTTGCTGCTGCCACCTCAAGGGGCAGCAAAAAGGCGAAGCAGAGGCAGCGAAAGCAACGGTTTCGTACTAGACAGAGGAATTGAGGTGGAGTTTGGAGGTGGTGTTGCTGTTTTTGTTTCTGCCGCCGGGTGTGCAAAGTGGTTTGACATTTCCTCCGTTTTGGCCGCTCATTCGCATTCCCATTCGCGAGATGAGATGAAATGAGATGAGGAAAGAGCAGAGGAGATCCGATGAGAGGACCATCTCAGCATCGTGTGCACCGCATTTCGGGTTCAAATTCGAGTGTATGTATTTCTTTTATTTTGCATAAATTAAGCATAAGTGTATTTGCTGTCGTTTCTCTGCTCTATCGCTGCCTCGGTTTCGTTTTCTCGTCGCTCGCTTTTGTTTGTTCATTCGGTAAGACCACGCACACACACAGAAAAGGGAGGATACATAGCGAGTTAACAGACTTTTCACCTCCGAAACACCATGCCCCCCATCGGGTGGGTGTTGACTTCGCTTTTTATTTAGTCTGATTTTCTGAGCTATTTTTTGGCTCTTCACACGACCCCCTGGCAAAGTAGATTTGCCGATTATGGAAACAAATTTGGGGAGTATCGAAATTTCTGGGAAAATGTTCAAAGCTATTCGGTATTAGTAAATGTTTGTTTTTTTTTTATCAGCAACCGTGAAAATCTATAAAATCACAACCTGTAAGTTACGTACTATTAATGAGTTCGTTAGTTACTATCTAAGGATTCAATGCAGAATTAATAGTAATGAATTAGGCAAAAAGCTAATTATTCTTTTCCTATTTCGATAGTTTGACAATTCATGCAGGTTAGTAAGAAATGCAAGTGTGGTTAGCAGTATTTTGTGTAGTGGCGTTGTTTTTTATGTCAGTGTTTTTGGGTTTAAGTTTCCCATCGGGGGAGTTTATTAGACTGTTCACGGTCTATTAGCGCCTCAAAGGGTGGCTTTCCTACAGCCTGTATTATTTGGCTTGGTCATTGAGTGGTAGTTGAGGATTGATTTCGAGCCACAGGGGTTTGAGTGGGGGTTGATTAAAAGGGCAGGCAAGGGGTTGATTGTTCGACTGGTAGTGTAAATGGTAATAATATAAAAGAGAGGAGGTACTCATCACTAGCGTACATTGTTCATGCTGACCAGGTACATGGCCAGTTTATTGATGTCCAAGTTGGCCAGCTGGCTGACATCTGTGGTGTTGAGGATGCTGAGCATTAGGCTGATGTCGGCGGCGGTGGGCATGGCTGTCATGACTCCCGCTCCGCCTGTGCCCACCGGCCCGGATCCACCACCGGATCCTCCGGTACCTGCTGCGGCCGCCGCCGCTGCTGCGGATGTGCTGGCCCCCTGCGATTGCATCAACGCCTGGAGACTTCGGCCACTGGCATCGTGCTGACCAGAGGATCCCACTCCGGAGCCACTGCCGCCGGAGCCGCTCTGTAGCTGCATTTGCATGGACTGAAGGGTAGGTGTGGTGGGAACCGAGAGCGGGGGCGTCGATGAAACCAATGCCTGGAGCTGTGGGACAAATGTGACAATCACAGAGAAAGAGTTGGAGGAGTTGGTAACATCGCAATTTCAGCAACAAGTTCAGATAAAATGCCACGGATTCGAGGGAATGGCTGGAGATGAGTTTATTGAGATGATCTTGATGGCAAAGAAATTATGTGCAATCCTCTGTCAGCGTTTTACATAGTTTTGTTAATCAGCTGTTGGCTGCTCGACTTTATGGTGTTCTTTACTTTTCAATTTTTGATGCTCACGAAAGTGATCGAATTCGGTTGCATTTCGGATCCGTTTTCTGTCCGAGTCGTTGTCCACAGTTCGTTCTGTACGCTAACTACGGTGCACGGTTCGCAACTAACTACGGCCAACAGCTAAGCAACAAAACTACGTACTTTTAACACTGGACACTACAACATAATCAAAGAACATAGAACAGGAAAATGAAAACAAATCAAATATCAAATGGGTTAGGCAACAGACAGATTTTGAATCATCTGGGGTTTTAGTCCTGATAAAAAAACATTAATGATATGCAAATTTTTTTTTTTTTGGTATTTAATTTTTTTCTAGGTTGCATCATATATTTTCTTAATCAAGCTCAATTCAAAGCTTTCTTTCTTTGAATGGATATATATTGGTACTTTTCAGTAATAAATGAATGGCTGTGATGTGAAGGTGGACTTAGAGAGGAGCAGATGATGGGATACACGGGGTTGGTTAGTGATAAAGAATCAGTACTCACCTTGGCCTTCTGCTGCAACTTCAGTTCCTCCTTTTTGTAATTCCTCTGGTAAGCGGTGATCACGCGTCGGAGGCGAGTGTTAAGGTCCTGCATCGACGGCCACATGGTTGTGGCATCCTCGACGGCTGCCACGGTTGGCGGGTAGCTGCCGGCCACGCTCTCCTCCTCGTCCAAGCCTAAATGTGAGTTGGAGTTAGCATTGTCGGTGGTGTTGTTAGAGTTAGCCGCTTTGGATGATGGATTATTGGTGGTGGTATTGGTAATGGTAGTAGTAGTAGTGGTGGTGGTGGAGATGTTTGTGGTAGCATTGTTAGTGCATGATTCCGTTTTATCGCCTTCGGCACGGGCAATGGCAGCGTCATCGTCTTTGGTTTCCCCAGCAGGAGCATCAGCAGTTGACTCCTTGATTTCCTTATCGTTTTCTTTTTTCTCCGATTCGATGTCCGATTCGAGGGCATCGCCAGCCTTTTCCCCAGTCTCCTGGCCTTCTCCTGCAGCCTCCGGCGAACTAGAGTCGGCCGGATCGCAAGAAACCGAGGCTGAGACTGGCGCGCTCTTTTTATTTATTTTTGTATCTGATGTATCTGCCGATTCTGGAGTTGGTGATAATGCGTCCTGCTGGGCGACCGCCACATCGACATCGCTGCCTTTGCCCGGCAAAGCTTCGGATTTGGATGAGGATTCGGAAACGGTTGAGGCATCTTTTTCGCGTTCCGTTTTGTCGTTGCCGCCGCTGCCGCTTTCGCTGCTGGTCTTACCCGACGAACTGGGGCGCTCCGGGTCGAGAAGCGAGTCCTTGTTGTCGCCCCCTGTGAGTTTGGTGGAGTCAGAGTCTTTGGTCGTGGTGGTGCCGTCGTCGTCCACCTCGTCGCCATCATCGTGCTTCGAATTTGCGTCGTCTTCGTTTCTGTAGTGCCAGAAAAATAGTTTAAAGTTAGTAACAGCTCCAAAGCGCTGATCGTATATTGGGTGGAGGTCATGCCCAACGCAGTTAAAACGTTCTTAATACACTGAGAGAGAAAATTCACAACACACGCACACACACATTCAGCGCAATGTCAATGGATCAATGCTTTCAATGTGCGTGTTAATGGGAGACATGTAAGCTTATCTTATCAATAAATTATTCGGCGAGAATTTGAAAGTCGTATGATGATTTCTTACAAAAAAGGTTCTGCAAAAATATACCTCTCTAGTCAATATTTTTTAAACTGATAAAAACTCAGCTAATACACTTATTCACTTTACACTCCAATTTCTAATCTTCCATATATTAAATGTCAGGAAAAAGCTTAAACATTAAATTATTTAAAGCATATATCAATGCTATGATTTTTGGATGAATGCGTGTGTGCGTGGGGGATGAGTATGGAAATGAGTTTAAGCACTTCCTGTTCGTTTCCTTCAGTTTCGAGATTGTCACCAACCACATCTGATTCGGAGTGTCTGAGCTTTGATATTCTCCTCATTTTAGTACTTGTGCGTGACGTATGTGAATTACTTAATGGCATTCATGTATGGATGCTAACTACTTTGATTTGTGTTTTTTTCTATCCGATGCGTTTCAAGGTAGAAACTCTAAATAAATGATCAATTTATTAGGTGACTAAGTGTGATGGGCAAAAAGTTTTCCGTTTAGCAACAAAATATTTGTTGTACTTTTTAAATGAAACTATTGTAAAAAAATGTCTAAAATTTTTTACACTTAAATAAGGCTAAAACGAAATGGAGTTTTAAGTTATAATCAATGATCAGTTTTGTACCTTTAAGACCTTAAAAAATAAATAGAGATTCCTCAAAACACATCGGATTAATTTAGATTTGGTTTTATTCGTTTCTAGGACTTACATCGGCAAATTCGTGACAGCCAAATCGTCACCGGCCGCACCGGCGCCCACATGGGTGACAAAGCACAGATTGGGATCGGCGCGCATTTGACGATACATTTCACAGCCATGCTTGTAGGTTCCGACCAACAGACTCTTATCACAACAAATGGGATTCCACCATGAGGATGGCACTTGATCTGGCGTTGGCGGCGGGCGAATGGGGAGCTCGCTACATATGATCGTATCGGTCGATGAGTACATTCGATAACATTCAAATGTGTTTGGTGGATTGGGGTATTTGAGAGATGCGCGAAAAAAGAAATGCGTTGGTTTAGTATAAATTCAATTTTGTTGGTTCAACAATTTTCGGTATGAGGTAAAATAAAAGGAACGTAAAAACACCAAATAAAAATGAGAAATCATAAAAGGTAATCAAATGAAAATCGTAACATTGTTAATTGCCAATTTGCACTACAGATTTACCACTACAAAATGCAGAAATTCATACAAAGCAAAATTCAAAAAGTTTGATGACCTTCTTCATCGTCTCACGTTTTCATGTTTTTGAATTTGGAAGTCGTTTAAAAAATATAAATTAAATTATAGAACTGCATGTGTAATTTCGGTTGATTTTTTTTGTATTATGAGGACGACTGCACGTGTGAAGGATATAAAGATATTGAGAGTAGCGTGGATTTCCCTATTCGCCTGCTTTTTTCTTAAATGCGAGAAATAGCGTGCGAGCAAGCGAGGGCGACGAGCGATGGCGATCGATATATCGGTGGTTGGGGAATACATGGGGATATTACCTTTCCAGATTCAGATTCAGATTCAGATTCAGATTTAGTGCCAGCTGCTGCTTGGCTTTCGTACTGCTGCAGTTTTTGGTGGTTATATAATATACGTATAGATATTGGCAATGAAGTCAATTAAGTATTTTTAAGGTTGGTTAAACGAATCGATAACACAAAACACAGCGATAGAAGTAGAGTTGATATGCCGAGGATTAGTTGGCAAAATGTAGAATATGAAAGTTGTGGTTAGAAATGAGCAGAGTAATGTGAAGGTGTACAAGTGTTTACATAATGGACAAGCGATCGAACGTACAAAGAGAGTTAGGATATAAAGATAGAGAGCGGATAAAAGACGGTTGCATTCCACCTGAACTTTGATAGACCCAAAGTTCTTATAAAAAAATAGTTTACAATTTTTGAAGTATCAGATAACAAATTGGCATTAGTAATTAAAGTATTAAAATATCTATAATAAAATGTAAAAGTAAATAAAAAAGTAATCAACACTCTTCGGCAATCAGTCAGTCAATCAATCAATCAACAACAACAACAAACAAACAAAATGATTAATGAATGCTAAGTCTTTAGCAGGCGACTCAGAGTGCCGCGCCTACCTGATGGGCAAATTGTCCTTGATCTGCTGAACAAACTCGCCAATAACCTCATGTTGTATATAATAGAGCATCCTCACACGCAGTAGAACCCTGTGAATATTTAAATAAAGTAAACAAAATGTAGAAAACAAAGAAAGAGAGAGCGAAGAAATTTTGTATTAGTAAAAGTCGGTCTCCAATTCGGGAATAGCTTATAACGAGTTCGATTCCACACGACTCACTTATTGGCGTGTCTGCCCAAATGCTTTTTGTAGGCGCCCTCCAAGTATGCATCCGCGTCGTACTTCTCCTTTTTGCTCCAGTGATTCGGGTCATGAATACTAGTGACCGCCGCGGCCACGGCACTGGCACTGATTCCGCCCCCATCCTTATCGGATCCATCCAGGGCGCTGGACTTGTGAGCCGGAGTCGTGTTCCCGCTATTGCTACCGGATGCAGTGCCCGGAGCAGGAGTAGACATTCCCGTGGATTCCTTGTTCGACTTGCCACCATTGCGTCCTGAAAGCAAGAAGCGATTTCACAATATAAGTAAGTGCATCCAAGTCAGAGCATCCCTCAGATTTGATTAATACTCAATTCTAAGGACAACTCATCCTTAGTATTGAAAATGTAAAATGCAAATGATTTTGCAGCTCTACTGAGTATATGATCTTTCCAAATGTAATTTTTTTCTTAGCTTACGTATAATAATATACACAGAACATAAACCAAATGCTATCTTCGTTAGAAAAAGGATATAAATTTTCTCTGAATATTATTTATAAACTTGAAAATTTTGGCATCTTGTAATTATAAAACAGGAAACACATTTTTATTATTATTAAAAATCACTCAAATTTTATATCACAATTTAATTATAGCAAATGCAGGTGAATTAGTAATAAAAGTTTCACCGAAAATAGTTAAAGCAGTTAATTTACAGTAGGATCTGTTAATGTAAGTATAAACTTTTATGTATTTAATGGGTTATATGTTATTATATAATAATAAAAAGTTGATATAGTAAAAGGCATACAATTGCATGGCAACAAAACATACACACACTTTTCTTCGTCGTGTCAAGTTCTAGGGTCTAAATAAGTCTCTGTCCTGGTCCTGTTTGAAGTCGTAATTGAGAGATTTGATTCGAGTTTGATGTAAGTTATTTAGAAGGAAGCAAAGATCAGTGGTAACACTGGAAAATATCGGAGGCCATTACATAGACCCAAACAAACAAACTACATAAATTAAAGTTGATTCTTGGATGGTGTGGCATTTACGGATACGGAAAAGTTGAAGACCACAATTAAAATTATAGGTAAGAGGTACAGAGTCCCATACAGATACCGTGTAAGAATTTTGTACAAAAACTTGGTTGGTGTTGTCTATTTTCATGGCAGCTCGCTTCTTTTATAAAAATTTTCTGCTTTTTTCTTTTTTTGATAACTCTCTACGTCCGTGCAGCAGTTGGAGTGTGCGTGAATGTATCTTTTACCATACCTTTGGCGTTCCTACCTCGTGGCACCAAGTTGTGTAGGCCACTATGATCCCTGCTGATCTTCTGCACCTCCCCATCCTCCGTCGGCGTAATCAGGTCCCAGATGAACGTTTTGATCTTCTCATCACCCTTGTAGACCTGCAGGCAGTAAAGAAGCTGCGAGGAATATAGAAAACATCTTTATTAATGCGAGTTAAACTTAATATTGTATATCATCTACATTATGCTTTGTTTCAGCAGGTTGAGAAGTTAGTTTTTACTCAGCGAAAACCTAAAGTTTCCTCAATATTAGCATGATTGGTCATCATTAATGGAATTGTTTATTACTTTTATATCTAAGCCTGGTTGTTTTACTTACGATGATGCGAGCACAATCCTCGACGTCTATATCGCGCCAACCGCGTTTAAATTGTCCCAACTCCAAAAGTTCCGACCAGCGGCCCCAACTGTAAAAGAAAAGTTCGAAAAGTTAGTGGAAAGTAAGAATAAAGCTATTAAATAAGCCAATTTATTAATAATTCCTGACCAGTCTAGTCATCATTCATTCTCCATTTATCACTACCAGAACTGGTCAAACATTTTTTCACACAAAGGAAACAATTTCAATCCTTACAAATTCAACACAGCAAAAAACCAACAAAAGAAGTTTATTGTTGTATTGGAAACATATTCCCTCAAATTGCTGCAATCATGACGAGCATCATGTCGGAACATAGCATGAAGACCGAAACGCAGAGCAGGCGTTCGGTAAAATCACATGCAAGCAAACTGCATGTATTCGAATATGTTGCGCCGCAGGACTTGGACGTCGTGGCCATCATCTACAAGTACTATCTGGAGGACTTTCGCAACTTCACGGAAGAGGAGCGTCAACTGCGATTGGCCAGTTTAGATGCCTTGGATATGCTGCGAACCATCGAGCAAGTGCACAATGATGTGGCTACTCTTAGGTTGGAGAACCACATCATGGTCGAGTTTCTCGAGAAAAACGACCCAAAGTTGTTGTTGGGATTAAGGCAGCGTCGCACCTCGATTCTTAGAAAATTGCAAACGAAGCGGGGATCTGCGCAGGGAAGTCATGGCGTGAGTAGCCGGCACTCGAGCTCTAAGCGCTCCATACCCATGTCAGTGAATCAGCTGGTCTCCATAAGTGGCATCGGAGCCCCAGAAAAGCGACGTGGAATAGACTACAAGCTGAACTTCAAGGCCAAAGCCGAAATGGCTGAGAAAAGAGCTGCTGAGGTGGAAAAGCGGGTAACAGATATTGAACGAAATGGTGGGTGGGGTGTCTCCTGAGCTTTGTGGTAAAATCTGATTCACAATCTGCTTTGCAGCCATGACCGAAGTGAAACAGCTGAGGGCCAAGATAGAGGAACTCCGCTTTCGAAGTGAGGAAACCATAGAGACTGAGAACAACTTTATGCTTCACTTTCTGCGAGATGAGAACGATGTGGCCTTCTTGGAGTCCGCCACCGAGAGGCAGATTGAACGAAAGCTGCGCAAGTTCACCACAAATTGGTTTAAGAATGCACGCGCTTTACTGGGGACCATGAAACTAACCATAGTATCTCTGCAAGAAACATGCCAGCAGCATCGGGCGGATCTGATAACCAAATCTGACCTAAGCGGTATCTTAACGGCGGTGGATTTTGAGAAGCTGATTATCAAGAGAACCGAGTTGGTTAATCAGTTGGAAGAAAAGAACATCCACATGGCGGGTCTCAAAGGAGTCACTGGTAAAACGTCCTTGGCCATGACTGAAGAAAAACAGGCCATGATGAACCTGGAGACTGAAATGCGAACCGTTTTAAACAGAACCGAAGAGGTCACGCGAGCCATTCAGAAACTGGAAAAGGAGGTGGCCGCCGTTCAAATGCATAACACCAAGGACTACGTGACCCTGGATGAGTTGAGGGCCCAGCTCCAGGATTATGAGGCCCCGAGTGTCAGCGAGTACATTGAGCGAAAGGAGGAGGCCCACGTCCTTGAAAAGGAGGAGAAGATGCTGCAGCGCAAGATATACATCCTTAACATGAAGCTCAACAACGCCATTCGTCGACGAAACCGACTTGACGACAATTAAATTGTACGATCGCCTATAAATGTTACTTGCCAAAAATAAAGCGTATACTTAAATTGATTTTGATCTACTACAAAATCTAATTTAGATTATTTTGCGTGTGCACTTACCCAAAGGAGAGCAGTCCCTTTTCCACCTTGAAGCACTCGGACTTGGCCCAGTTGCCATATTGAATCTCCTCCAATCCCAAAGCAGCCAAGGCATCCCGTTCTCGTGGAATGTATTCATCGTGGCCCTTCTTTTCCCGAGTACGGTCGCGCTTCTCCTTTCGTCGTCGAGAGCGGAGACCTAGTTGGTATACATGATTAAAATAGGATTCATAAGAATTATCAGTGTTTTACCCTTACCTATTCCTCCCTCTTCATCGCTGTTCTCATTGGAAGAATCCTCGGAATTGAGCTCCATCACGTCCTCGTGACCATAGCGTTTGATTTGAGTGCGTCTTCTCGGTTCGGACAAAACCAAATCCTCGGTTTCATCTCGCTCACAGGCATCGGGATCAATGTCAACCTTCTTGGCCCACTTGGTCCAGAAATCGGGATCATCGATGGTAATATCCGATCGGTTGCCGGAGGCAGCAAATGAAGCCTTCGAAAAGGTCGAACCCTTCTCGGATTCCATGGTGATGACTTGAGTGCGGCGCTTAAGGATTGAATCGATGTCCTCTTCGCAGAACTTGTCACCAGCATTGTCGTCATCCATGACAGCGCCGTAGGCTCCCTTTTTTAGAAGATCTTCGATCTCCTTCTTAGACAGCTGCTTGTTGTTGCCATCCTTAGAGCCTTGGGTGTTCATCGACTGCAAGACGGCCTTGTCCAATCCAAGTTTCATCGAAGCCTTGTCAAACATTTCACGCTCGTAGGTATTTCTGCAGAGCAATCGGTAGATCTTAACCATTTTCCTTTGACCAATACGATGGCATCGAGCCTGAGCCTGCAAATCGTTCTGTGGATTCCAGTCCGAATCGTAAATAATGACAGTATCGGCCGCTGTTAAGTTAATGCCCAATCCTCCTGCCTTAGTACAGAGTAAGAATACAAAACGGTCAGATCCTGGTTTGGAGTAACGATCGATGGCTTCCTGACGGAGATTGCCACGAATGCGTCCATCAATTCGCTCAAAGGGATACTTTCTGTACACCAGATAGTCCTCTAAGATATCCAAACAACGCACCATCTGACTAAATATAAGCACGCGATGGCCATTTGCTTTCAGTTTGGGTAGCAATTTATCAATCAAAACCATTTTACCAGCGGATAGAATTAGATTCTTGTAATAAGACTCTGGGTCCTCGCCATGCTGGGACTTGAAATCATATTGGATTTGTTCTTCCGCTCCATTTAAGAGATAAGGGTGTATGCAGCACTTTCTCAACTCCATCATGGTGTTCATTAGGTTGGGAATATTAGCAGATGTAGTTCCCTTTTTCAGGAAACTAAAGTTCTGTTCTAGTATACCTCGGTAGTATTTCTTTTGTATGTTAGTGAGCTCCACTTCGATAATGGTTTCCTCCTTGGGCGCCAAGCTCTTTTCCACGTCGTCCTTTAGACGACGCAGCATCATAGGTTTTAGGAGAGCTTGCAGCTTATTCACCTCTTCCTCAGTGCGAAGACTTCCAAACTCGGACATGAACTCTTCCTGTGAGGAGAACTGCGAGGGTTCCAGGAAATTTAGCAGCGAGAACAACTCGCTGATGTTGTTCTGCAGGGGAGTTCCGGAGAGCAAGACCCTATGTTCCAAGTTCAGCTGTCGCAGTCCCTCGAGGAGCTTGCAGTTCCTATTTTTGAGCCGATGAGCTTCATCGATTACACAAAGGCGCCAGTTGAATGCCTTTAGGTCCATGTAATCCGTCACAATCATCTCGAAAGTGGTGATCAAAACGTTAAACTTGATGGGCTCCTTCAAGACCTTTCCACTTTCTGTCTTATAGTAGTATTCATAGTCCTGTATCATTTGTTTGCTGGTCACAGAACCATGATAAACCACAACGTTCATATCAGTCCAGCCCTCGAATTCTCGCTGCCAGTTGGGAATGGTGGAGAGAGGAGCTATGACCAAGAAGGGTCCTCTGATTCCGTACTCATAAACAGAGTGCACAAAGGTCAAACTCTGAATTGTTTTTCCCAAACCCATTTCATCGGCCAGGATGCAGTTGTGAGTATTGTACCAGGAAAACTTTAACCAATTGAGACCCTCTAGCTGATAGGGTCTAAGGCTATTTCCGCCCTTGTAGATCGGAGTCTTCTCCAGTTTTTTCCACAGTTCTGGATGCGGACGCTTTTTGGACTTCCATTCGCACCTCAGAGGAATTTTGTTAAAGCGCAGGTATTGCTCGATCTTGTCGTTATCTACATCTTCTTCAAGCTCCCAGGTGCAATCCTCATAGGGAAGTGACTTCCACTTGACCAGGTAGTGCTTGGTGGTCTCCCCACTGGTTTCATCCGTGTGAACGGACATGTCCAGCACCCGGTCAACTTCGGTAAAGTCCTGATTGAAGGGCTCGTCTTCGATGTTCTCGAATATATTCAATTGCTGGGATTGCTTTTGCTGAAAGCGACGAATCTTAGCAGCCACTCGACGATCACCCTTCAGAAGTTCCTCTTCGGTTCTCCACTCGCAATGAAGGTAACTGAAATTGCGATACTTCACAAAGTACTCTTCCACATCGATAAAGACGGGTTCGGGTTTGTTTTCCTTGTCAGCTTCGTTTTCGTCGCCACTATCCTTTTTGGTGGATTCTTCTCCCTCCTTGCCAGGCTCCTTTTCGCCTTCACTTTCTAAAGATTCTTTAACTTTTTCTGTAGTAGCCTCCTCGGGTTTGGCTTCGTCAGTAGATTTTTCCTCAGATTCTTCTTTGGATTTTGGTGACTTATCTTCACCTTCCTTCTCGTCTACGTCCATTTTCTCCGCGGCAATCTCGGTTTCCTTGGCCTCCTCTGCCGTGTCTACGTTAGAGGACTTGTCTTCCTCAGTGATTTCAGCACTATCATCAGTCTTTACTGTTTCTGATTGCTCTTCTGGTTTAGCTTCATTATCTGATTTTTCAGCTACATCGTCTACGTCCATTTTTTCCACATCTTTATTGTCCTTGTCAGATTTCTTAGTATCTACAGGTGCTAACTCCTCTTTGCCCTCCACTTCCATTTCGGAGGACTCCGATTTCTTTCCCTCTACATCGGTTGAATCTTCTTTGGGCTCTCCCCCGTCACTCTCCGTTTTGGGTTTTTCATCCTCATCGCATTTTTCTGCTGACGCTTCTTCAGATCCCGATTTCTCTTCCTCCTTTTTGGGTTCGGGCGCTTTCTCCTTGGGTTTTTCGGGGATGAGTTCACGTTTTCCCATTCGCATGGCCAACACTAATTGAACGACCATGCTGTCTTCATCGCCAGTGTTTATGTACACGTAATTGGGCTTAGAAGACATGGCCGCGTTTGCGGCATCGCTGGAGATTTGTCGCTCCTTTTCTACTGCCGCCGCCGCCGCTGCTGCTGAAGTACTCGAACTGGCTTCCAATTGGCTGCTCTCGTCCATGGGTAGATTAGACTTCTCTTCACCCACCTCCTGGCCAGCCTCTCCTTCGGCACCAGATTGCGGTTCTGTTTTTTCCACATCACTGCCTGCATTGGAATTAGCCGCATTTGCGGATGATTTCTTATCCTTCTTTACAGGAGACGCTACCAATAAAGAGTTTTCGTCATCGGAGAACCTCAGCATTACATCATCGATGTACTTCTTCCTTTGTGTGTTCCTTGAAGATCTTCGCTTGTTGGAATCCAGCTCAGAGTCTGGGGGAGGTGATGGTGGCGGAGTTCTGTCCATGGTGTCATCTTCGCCATCGGATTCGGGCACAATTCGTCCCCTGTTTCTACGCTTTTTAAGTGCCTTGGCGGAGAGAGAGCCACGGTTTTTGCGCGCACTACCACCCTCCTCAGAGTTCGCATTGCGACGACTTCTAGCAGTGGATCGTTTGCGATCTCTTCTGCTCGGAGTGGAGGCAGGATCTCCTGCCGAATCTGGAACAGAGTCCACAGTTTCATCGCCGGCCTCCGCGTCCTTGTCGTCTTCATTGGCGCCCCGTGGAATTTTTGAGACGGGAATGTCATCGTAGTCTGGAGACTCTCCGTCCACGCCTGTTCCTCCTGAAGTGGTTTCTGCTTCGCCATCGGCAGATCCCGCTTTGGGCACCAACGGTTTGTTGTCTTCCACTTCGCTGCCCTCGCCCGTTTGCTCGGTACCATCCTCTCCGTACTGTTTCCTGCGCTTAGCAACACTGGCTCGTTTTTTACCCGCTGCTGGTGTCTCGGTAGAATTCGGATCATTGGGATCCTTAGGTTTCTTGGCCTTCGGAGTCCTATCTCGAGGAGGTTTATTCGGATCCTTGGGTGTCCTGGGCTTGCGTGGTTTCTTCTTTTTGCCACTGCCATCTGTGGAGGTATCCAGTTCATTGGCTGAGTGCACGTCTTGCGAAAGATCGCCCATGCCTTCGCTGTACTCCAGCATTCCGACCACGCTGGTATCTCCCGCACCCTGAGTCACGCAGTCCTCAGAGACGGGAAGCTGTGTCGTTGGGATACTTGGAATGGCGTTGGCTGCTCCAGTAACCACATTGCCGCTGATATCCATTAGATCCTGCTGCTGACCCACCTGACCTTTTTCGCCCTTCTTCGCGCGGGGTTTCCGTGGTTTGTTGGCTCCCTTTCCCCGGCCTCTTCCCGTGGTGCTAGATACTTGTGGACTCTCTACCATTTGCTGGTTGAGCAAGGGATTTCCTGGTGGTCCATACATTGGGGGAACGTTCTGGAAGAGCAAGCACTGAGGGCCGCCAGCACACTGATCGTTTATTTCGTGTTGCGTCAGAAGATTTAATCGCTCCTGCATTCTCATTAACTTATCCTGGTGCTGGAGCTCATGACCTGGAGGCATGCAATACAGTTCCTGGATCTGCTGCTGCAGTGCAGCAATCTCTTGTTGATGCAGCATCGGGTAAGGTGGATACATGCCAGGTGCTCCGCCGTACGGTGGCATCATTGGTGGAATATGACCCTGTCCTTGAGCCTGGGCATCGTATCCGGGGGCCAATGGGTGCAAGGGGATTCCCATAGCGGGCACCTGTTGAGGCGGTTGTCCAACTAGGGTGGTGGGATCTACAGGGGGTACCACTCCAGTTGCAGGTTGAGATTTATCCTCTCCCATTTCCTCTACGATTTTGGGTTCCTCTAGCAAAGAGCTAGATAAATCCCCTAGAGATTGACCTAGTTGAGTTTGTTCCATCTCTTCAGAGGGCTTATCTTGCAGATCCTCCTGAACTGCCGGCAATTCGGTGCTTAGACTTACTTCTTGAGTCTTGGGAACGCTGTTCTCATCCTGTGGCAACTCAGTTTCATTGGCTGAAGCTCCAGACACACCTCCGAGTCCCTCGCCTTCGCTCTGATTCTTCTCAAACTCTGCATTTGAGGACTGAGAATTACTATCCAAAAGTGCAGCTGCAGCAGAAGCAGCATTTGAGGCAACGGCAGCCACTGCTGCAGATGTGGAGGACATAGAGTTGTTATCAAAAAGGCCAACATCCACTCCAACATGCTGGGCAGACTCCGAATTTCCTCCATGCGAATTCGTGTTGTCCATGAGCAACTGTTGCTGGTTGTTGCTGCTGCTGTTAATGCTGCTCTGCGAGTTGCTGTCGTGCACCGAAGTGGGCTGGTTGTTGACAATGCTGTTGGTGCTACTATTGCTGCTGCTGTTGTTACTGTCATTAGCAGCCACTGCCAAAGTGGAGGAATCATTCGAGTTGGCTGTTTCGTTGAGAATGCTGCTTAGGTGATGTGACGGCGTCGAAGGTTGTTGCTGCGTTTGCTGCTGTGTCTGAGGCAACTGTTGTTGCTGGGTTTGTGTTACTTGCTGGGCTGGCTGCTGTGACTGATGTGACTGCTGTTGCTGCATTTGCGCGGGTATTGGCGAACTCACGTGAGCGGGCGACATTGTCTGTTGGGGCGCAGGTGGCTGATTGTCTCCTAGTATGTTAGCAAAAGGATCGAACTGCTGCTGCGACTGATTGTAGCTGGGTAGATGTTGCTGGTGGTGCGGTGACTGTTGCTGCTGCTGCTGGTGTATGGGTGACTGATGTTGCATTTGCTGGTGGTGCGGAGATGTTAGAGTCGCTTGCGGTGGCTGCTGCTGTGGTTGTTGCTGTTGTGCCGTTTGCTGTTGCTGCTGCGTCGGTTGTGCTGTCTCCATGGTAGGCTGTATTAAATGGTGCATGCTCGGCAGACTTTGCTGGTGCAACGGCGAGGACATGGCAGCCAGTTGGGGTTGCTGCTGTTGGCTTTGAGTGCTTCCTGTTGCCCCACTGCTGTTACCTCCCCCAACAATATCGTTGATCGAGTGCTGCAATTGATCGTTGAGCGATTGCTGTTGGTGTTGCTGCTGCTGTTGTTGCTGCTGCTGCTGGGGGCTGGCCACCACTGGCGGTTGTTGTGCAGCCACTGGTGGCACAACCTGTTGCTGCGGGGTTTGGGGTTGCTGTTGCTGCCCCATCGCACCATACATGCTTAGTTGTTGCTGGTGATGTTGTTGCTGAGCCTGCAACATGGCCGCCTGCTGCTGCTGCGGTGGTGCCTGTTGCTGCTGTTGCACTTGCTGTTGGGCCTGCTGCTGCTGCAGGGCCGCCAAGTGCTGAGCTCCATGAGCCGCGCCCCATTGCTGGTGGTGTTGCTGCTGCTGTTGCTGCGGCGATGCGGGCATCCTGGGACCCACGGCACTTCTGTAGGCCGAAGGATAATCCATGGGCGGGAGCCCGAGAGCTTGCGACGGCATCACCATTTGTTCAAGGGCCTGTAACGTGTTTACGGGTGCAGCAACTGGCGCTGGAACCTTCGCTCCCGCTCCCCCTGCTCCACTTGTGGGCGGCTGGGGTCGCGGCGATGGCAGACCCACCATGCCTTGAATGCTGTGCTGGCTGGGCTGATTGTTCACCACCTGTTGTGGCTGCTGTGCCTGCGTTTGCTGCTGCTGTTGTTGAGGGGGTGGTGGTTTCGCCGGTGACACGCCCACTGGTCGCGGAGACATCTGTGGATGCGGCGACATCGTCGGCGGACGTGGCGACATTTGTGGCGAAAGCTGAGGGAAGGGAGCGCGGTACTGGGGCGAGGAATTTAGCTGGGCGGCCGCCTGTTGATGTTTGCTGCTGGACATGTAAGGCGGTGCTGCCTGCTGCTGTTGCTGCTGGGCCTGTTGCTGCTGCTGTTGCTGTTGTTGCTGCTGCTGGTGGTGGCTTCCGTAGCTGGGAGGCATTCCCATGTGCGGTGGCGGTAATCCAGCGCCCGGCAACTGTTGCTGCTGCATCAGCGAGACGTGAGGTTGCTGCTGCTGCGCCTGTTGTTGCTGCTGCGATTGGAGCTGTTGCTGCTGGTGGGCGCCCAATTGCTGCGCAGCCTGCTGCTGCTGCGCTGTCAAGTGGTGGCCCGGTGGCGCTGCTCCCGGCACATGTTGCCCATAAGCTGAAGCCTGATCCAGTCCTGTGTGACCGTAGCCCACGTGCTGGGGCGCTCCTCTGCTCGGTTGATGTTGCATGGGACTGCCGTACGGACTGTGAGCATAAGCTTGGGGCGTGGGAGGTTGTCCCGCCTGGACAGCGGGTGCCCCCACCCCCGGATACAACGGATGCTGGCCAGGAGCTTGCGGATAATGCTGCGGCAGTCGAGCCTGCTGCTGACTCTGCTGCTGCTGCTGTTGCTGCTGCTGCGCCTGCTGTTGCACCTGCTGTGCTTGCTGCTGCACCTGCTGCTGTTGGGGAGTGGGCGGTTGCTGCTGCTGTTGCTGCTGGGGCGCCAGCGATCCATATCCCGCCATCATGCTCTGTTGCGCGCTGTAGGTCGCAAGCTTCTGCTGGTCCTGTTGTCCGTAGGCGGGCATGTGTTGGCGGTATGCGCTGGCGTTGCTCTGGCGCTGCTGCTGCGCCGGTGGAGCTGCTTGCGGATGACCGTAGGCCCCCAGCCCGGCTCCGGGATACGCTGCTGCCTGGCCCGGAACCGAGGGCGCCGCTCCCCAACCGCTTAGATCACCCATCCCGGCACCCACTCCAACGCCGAGCCCAACGCCCATGGCCGCCTGGTGATCGGCGGCCCCCAGCCCGTAGAGATTCTCCGCCGTTGGCTGGTACGATGGGTATTGGGGCTGTTGCTGTAGGGGATGTGGGGGGCGGTGGCGTGGCGGATAGCCACCGGGCGGTCCCATTGCCCGAGGATTCGCCGCGGCGGCGGCTGCTGCTGCGGCTGCCGCATCGTAACGGTAATAGGGATCTCTGTGGAAAAGAAAAAATGGATAAAATTTAGAATTTTTGAATAATATAGTTCTAGCGATATTCATATACTTTTGTAAAGAATTCAATTTATTGGAATTTAAAAATAATTCATTTATTGAATTGCAAATGCAATTGGAACTATTTTTAGTTTTGATGTTTTTTTTATCTGATTTACTTATGGATATTTTAGATCTATTAATTGGAAACCTTTCCCATAAAAAGAGTCGTTTTCCCCCCTGATGGCTTATTTTCCGACAATCTCAAACAAACTCACCCTTGATGATTTCCGTGAAACATATTTTGTGCATTTCCATCCATCAGATTTTTTAAACGCAGCGCACACAGAAATGTCCGTTACGCGTCGAAGGACGCGACGCCGCTGCGTTTTAGATTTGGACGTCTATTGGCTTAATTTTGATGCTGCTTTCTACGCGTGGCCGTTTTCAAAATGTCGAAAGCCCAAAAGGTAGCCGAGGACTGAGGCCTGAGAACCAGACGGTTGCGGAGAAGTTGCACTTCTCTGGGGAGCGGATATCCTTTCCCCACTGCTCACTTTACCCCGGGGATCTGGTCTCTAGTCTCTGGTATCTCTCTATCCACCTTCGCCTTATCGATTATGATTATATATTGGTTGGTTGCGGGTTCTAACTACTAAACTTAATTACAACTGGTGTGCAATTTAACGTCTTGTTGTTGCTTTTATATGGAAAAAGTCATTTGTGTCTCGAGTTTCGCGCACTTCATGGCCGACCTTTGACATATTCGCAGTGAAACACATTCGCTCACAGCTGTAAGAAATATTTCGGAAAGAATCGATCAAATTAGTTTAAAAGGTTTCGCGTAAAACAACAATTTATAGGCGGAGAGCAGTGCATTATTTTTCAGTTTTGAGCGTATTTTAAGCGAAAGATTGCATTTGAGTTTGAGTAATGTATTCTGGATCTGTAAAGAGAAGACAAAAAATATGAATTAGTATAAATATCATGTTGTTTGTATTTTATAAAATCTACATTTTTGGAAAATAATATAATCTAGATGTAGATTTATGTTAATGTTAAGATGTTAGATAATAAAGAAATATACTCTTACAATTTATCACACGTTTTGTTGCTGTTGCACTAACTTTTAAGGGGAAAAGCTATACGCTTATGAATTTCATAGAATGGCACATATAACGTACAGTTTCACCCCCCAAAATGTTGAGCAATATTGTCAGATGGTACAAGTAGTATTTGGATTTGACTCAGTAAAATGGTTGAAAAGCAGTAAAAGTGTAAACTAAATGAATGATTCACTTCTGCCGCAAAGGGGGTTGGATACAACGAAGATTGCTTTGGATTTCATTGGTTTGTTTTGGGCTTTTACGGCGAGAGTGGGAGGTGTGTGGGTGTGTGTTTTGGGAAAATCTTCTGCGGCAACAGTGAGAAAAACAATGGCAACTCTATCGATTTTTCGCATTGTCTCTGGGGCTGCTTATAGCCGAAAATCTAAAGTAGCAGTGGAAAATCCGTAGAGAGCGAAGAAAAAAATGCGGGTGGGTTGACTGACTGGTAGTTATTGTTGGAAGCTGCGAGAGTCCAAAGATATGCAAATGGGGCGGGGAAAGAGGAGTGGCTGGTGGGGTGGCAAGGTGTGGTGTCTGTTTTATGTGTGTGCAAATGGAAAGTGCAGATATAGAGACAAAACTACAGGCAGTACATAGAGACATGCACTTACACACACCGACAGCAGACAGTCAGCCGAAATTCGGTGCTCAGTGTACTGTTATAAATACGTGTGCAAAAAGGTGAGAGAGGAGGGGGCGGGGGCTACAGCGCAGTCAGTCAACACACTCACACACTCGCGCACACACTTACTATATGGCACATCATCAGCGAAACTTATGTGGAGTGGCTGACATGGGCTAAGCGGCGAGCTTAGCACCGCTCTACCCCTTCAGCTACCCACCAGCCCACCTACCCACTCCCCATCCACCCCCCCAGCACCCCCGTCGTGGGTTTGCCGTGAGTTGTTCGCGCTCATTGGACAATCATTTAGCCAGTCGTCGTGGCCTCTACACCGTGAGAAATAACTAAGAAACTTCGTATTGATAAGATGAAATATTAAAAAAAAATTTATGAGTTATTATCAGACAACATTCCAACTCCTATTTTGGTTTTGAAAAATGTAAGCTAAGGTTTAATCGGTAGTGGTCAAGAGAGAGACTAAAACAATAACAAGAATTTTTCGCAGTGTGCATTCGTTGTTGTTGCCCTCCGGCTGCTTTGACTTTGCCGTAATCAATTACATTTCGCTTTTGCAATTTCAGCTATTTATTTATTTAGTTTCAGCTCTTGCCATTATTATTAGGCGAGCGGTATGTACACACACTGGTAATGGTAATGGTGATGGTGATGGTAATGGTAATGGTGAGCGGCGAGACTTTACTTTGTATATCTGGCGGATGGATATCTATCAGTATCAGTGAGTGGAGAGTGTGTATGTCGCATTTTTTCCTTCTTTCGCTTTAGTTTTTACTTCTTGCCCGCTTCTTCTCAATTTTGGCGTGGCTATTACACAAACAAATCAGGCAGAGTAATTGCAAAAACAATAAACTAAAAGCAATAGTAATATGCACATGTATGTATCTATGTAGTGCGGTGGCTTGGTGTTTTGTTTGTGTGTTTGGGTAAGCAAAGCAGACATCTGAAAAATTGTGAAATTATACTTTACTTATTGCCTCTCTCCGTCGCTTTCTGCGCTTATGTCCGTGTCCATGTCTATGTCTGTCTATGTCGCTTTGTGTCTCTGCGCACAACTGTACGTTTGTTTTAAATAAGCGAAAAATCGATTAAAGGTGATAATAGACAAGCAAATTTCAGTGTGTCCAACGACAAAGACGCGAGCCACATTTTTGTGACCCGACGACGACGACACCACCAACAATCCGATCCGACAACCCAGCAAACCCAACAGCCCAGCACCACCACCATCAGAATGGCGGATTAGCCTTAGCTTTCGGCCGGGTCTGTTTCTGTTTCTGCTTCTCCTTTCCCATGCTCCATCGTTTTATGAGCCATGAAAATCGCTCTCAAAAGAGTTCACTCAAGTCACAGTTTTCTCACCGTAAAAAAGTGTTACCCGTCGATTGTGTTCCTTGTGAAAATGTGCAAAGTAAAGAAACAGTAATAGAAACAGTATAGAAAGCGGGTAGCAATTTTGCAGTTTAAATAAAGTTGATAACTTGGATTGTATAATACTTTACAGATAGTAAAAGGAAAGAGAAATACAGTTTTCCAACTTAATATTTAATATTTTTGGTTGCCCTCTTCTATTATTTTTTACATAGCTATACAAACTGGATTAAATTAACCTGAACGAATACTCCCCAAGCTTACGATTAAACGTTTTGCAATAGCAACAACAAAAACCCAAAAACCAAACACAAAAACGAGAAAAGGGTTCGTTCACCTTTCGTCTTGGGCAAATGAATTTAGTTAGCTCACAATTTTTGACAGTTGTTTTGTGCTCTTGCTTCGCATTTAGGTCCGACTTTGTGTGCTCTTTTATCTCAAACTTTTCAAATGTAACGAATATCTGACCCACAATGGTTAAAGGGGCGGTTCAGGAGAGGTAAGGCCAGCGCGCACAGAAAAAAATATTTGCAAATGCCACTTTAGTCTGTCCCACACAACAAACATTTTGGGAGTCTATTGCGCACCTTAAATAAACCATCATTTAACTCAAACCAATTACACATCTAAATTTTCTTTTTATTCCTAATACAAGTCCTATTAAATGTAACATAAGGTTAAAGTAAACTAATTTAATTGGGCTTCACCTACAAATTACAAAACAAAGGCTATACACAAACAAACATTTTAAGGCAAACAAGGCAAAAAGCCAAATTATTCTTTTTGGGTACATAGTTTCACAGAATTTAATATATGAAATTTCTAGAAAGCTGTTTCTTATCACGAACATAAAAACTTGTATATGAATCATTCAACTTGTTAAGTATGGCAATAAAGATTCCTTAAAATTTGTTGTTTTAGGAATAGGAAAAAATGTGAAATGGGATTTCGTGTTCCCAATAGATTTTGGTGGAAACTTGGGAACCTTCGAGGTTGCGGCAAATCCAATATTCTAGAGTGACATTATTTTTTGCAGTGCCTGGCTCAGAGGTGTTTGTAGAGTGTCGTCACATAATGGAAACACTGAGAACTCCGCACACACACAGCGGGTGCTGGGATGATGCATATACATACATGTACACATGTACGTACGAATGAATCTGGCTTTAATAACAATCAAGTCAAGTGGCTGGGTCCGCGCTAACAGTAACTAAAAAGTACAGTTGGTTTGTGTAAGAAAAGCCACATTCAACGGCGGCAGCCAAGTCCGTCACTCAGCGCGGTCCAAAAAGAGGCAAAGAGCGGCTGAGGCGGAAAGCAGGAGGGGAGGGGGAGGAGGAGGTGGCAGGGGCATAAGCAGAGCAGAGACAGATGGGCGCAGCAGCAAAACGCGCACTCACACACACACAAACAGCCGAGATGTACGTACATAAAAATGGTAATAAAATAGGTAAAGTAACAGCGGCAGCTGTAGCAAAAGAAGAAGCACAAGAGCAGAAAGCCACACACAGTTTTCGGAAAAGCCAAAGAGCTCTGCTGAGAGCCGTCAGCCAAAACTCACTCTCCAGCGCCTGAGAGACACACAACAACAACAAGAAACCAACCAACAACCCACAAAAGTTCGCTGGGCAAAATTACAAACACGTCGCAGCCTTTTGAATGTGTAACGGTACATTTATGGCAGGCCCAATTGGCATTAGAGATGAGTGGAGTGCGATAGTGGCCCCATCAATGCGATGGAATTCCTCGCACTGTCATCAACACCAAACAGTTTCCCTATAACCAAATGTCGAGCCACTGAATTTGACTTTATCTACTGTGTGTACTCACAAGTTGAGAATCACTAGTTTGTTTATTTACTTTTGTAGTACACATTAAAAAATTGTTATTTCTCCGACTCTAAAAAGGAAAAGTTACAAATAAAAATCATTGTAATTTAATGTAGTACAAAGGTATACTAAAACAGAATACTTTTGTCAAGCAGATCGTTTAAATGTGCACTTGTATGGAACTGTGGAACTAAGACTTAATTTGTTTGGCTAAATTCAAAATTATAATTTTTAAAGCCTAACAAAATACAAATATAAAGCATACGATAATTAATTAAAATGAGATTGCGCAATTTGAAGTCGTTATAAATGGGAACTAAAATGATATTTTGACAAAATAGTACGGGGGCAGATAAAAATGAGGGAGAAACTGTGTTAAATGTCAATTTTAATCAGTACCTACACTAAAACCATTTGATTACTATGGTCAAAGATTCAGCTAACCACTGACAAATTTTAGAAACCTGCCCTTTATACATCTAGTTTAATTGTGTAAAATTAAGTCAATCACTCTACCTGATCAGCATCTACTTCCGTGAGAAACAACTCTTGCGATATCTTTGAAGCCTAATCGGTGGATACGTTGTCGTGCAACGCGGCACAATGACGTTGGGAATAGTATTGCCAAAGTGACGGAGGCCACAAAACAGGGAAGTGGAATATCCTAGTTGTAGGCCTGTGACGAAGACGAAACTGACGCCATGTTTCCCGCTAGAATTACCAAAATTATGCGAAAACAAGGCGGCCAGGGGAAGCCGAGCGCACACAGACGCAGGACACAAGTCCTGACCCGATTATCGAGTTAAACTGTTGTATAAAATTTGCACCTGGACCTAAACCGGATCGAATGGATATAGAGGTGCCCATTGTCAATCCAGCAACAATAAAACAGAGAGCGGCCCCGAACCGAGAGAGAGCGGCTCTCCTCTCTCGCGACGTGCCGGCTGAAAACGAGCGAGCGGCTAAAGACACGACAAAGCGAGACGAGAGAAAAAAAAAACAGCCCAACAAGTGAAACGAGCAAAAATGTTGCCCACACAGAGTAGGGAAAAAACAACAAAAAAGGCGAAAGCAAAGCATAGCGTGTGCTAAAGAGCAAGCCAAAAGCAAACCGAGTATATCACGTGCTGCGCCAGCAGAAGGGGAGGGGGTGGGCGGTGGAGAGGGGGCGTGTGCCGGCCTTTGGCGGCAGCGCTGCCAGCGTCGCAGCCGACTGAGAAAAGCATGAAAGACGGGCGGAAAGGAAAAGCGACTGAGAGACAAAGCGACAGGGCGACTGTTTCGTATAGAAAGAGAGTGGGCAGCGGAGGCGGCGATGAGCCAGTCAAAACAAAAAGTGCGAATAAAGTAAGGGGGGGCAGGGTAGGCAGCAGAAAATAAATTTATAAAGGTTTAAAGTATGAACAGCAAGCCCAAATCAGATAGTTATACAAAATAAAAAGGATTTCAACTTTGCGATCAGTGATACAATTGAAGGGGGTTGTTCTAGAAAGAGAAGATAAGCTGTTCGAGAAGTGCTAATAAAAATACCTCAAAAAATTGACTCTCATTGATAATATCGATAGCAACACAAGTTCCTAATACCGTTAGAAATGAATATAAATAAGATAGTTAGCTTGAGTTTTTGAGTCGGGCAAAGAAGTTGAGTTTTGCAGTTGTTGTTGGGTGGTCATCAGAAGTGAGAGATTGAAAGATTGCGAGGCAGGAGAAAATCCGCGAAACAAAGCAAAGCAAAGCGAAGAAAAGAAAAGGCGGCGAATGGCGGCGACAACATTACGGCGACAAGTACAAAACACGTATTATGCATGTGTGTCGGTGTGTTTGTGAGTTGGAGATTCGCATGATTCGTGCAAATTCGCCGCATAGTTGTTGCTGCTATTTTATTCGCATTCGCATATCGTGGTGCCTTTTGTTTGTACATGTGTATCTGTATCTGTATCTGCATCTGTGTGGGTCTGCTGGCCCGGGTGTGTTGTGTTTGTGAGTTGGGGTCGTCGTCGTTCATATGTTTGCCTTGTTGTTGCTGCCTGGTGTTGTTTGGTCGGTTTTGATTCGGTTTTTTGGGATGGATGATATTATATGGTCGCTGGTCTGTCGCTGCCACCGCTGCTGCCCGATTTTCCATCCATCGTTTGGTTCTCTCGCCCGTCATCAACTCTTCTTCTTGCGCTAGTGGCTCTTTTTGATTGGATACAGTGGTACCTCGATAGCTTGATTACTGTGTTTTAAATTATTGCTAGACATTGTTTCTCTTGCTAGCATATCATAACAGATTATCAAAAATAAATTGTTAAAATCAACTCTCTGCCACCTGTATGTTTTATAAATGTTTTTAAGATGTTAAAAACAACTTGATTGAAACCTATCTTTGTGTTTTGTTAAGACTATATATGAACTCTTGCTTTGGATTTTCCACCAAGTTCAAGGTGAGCAGGCTCCACTGTGGTTGCCTCCGTTTTCTGCCCCCTGTTGTTGTTCTTCTCATTTGCACGTCACGTAAGTTATTTTTTCTTTCTTTTTATTACTTAAATTTTTTCGCCGCAGCCCCAGCGAAAACAAGAACAACTGTAAGCAATGAGTGGAACTGCCCACTCGCCTCAACTTTACTTTAGCTTTATTCGCATATTAACGAGTGGGGGAGGGAGGGAGATGGCAAGAGGGGCGGGGCGAAGAGGAAAAAAAACAGGCGTGTGACGTTTTTTCGCTGCTTTTTCTTCTTCTTCACCGAAAAGAGTTGATTGAATTTATTTCGCTGGCGTTTGTGTGTTTGCGACTTTTTCGCTCAATTCGTTTGTATGTCTGTGTCTGCGTGTCTCGCTGAGTGTACGTGTGTATCTGTTTTCGGTTAAAGATACATAATTATTTCTAAAAAGCATTTTCTGCCTGGCCATTGTTGTAAATCGCTCGCAATTTCACGATTCGCTGTGGCGCTCAGTACTTATAATTATAATCGACTTGCAAATAGTATTACTCACCGTTTTTCATTTTTTGTGCTGCTAATCCATTTGACTTTATCTTGTTTATTATCGCAGGTTCTCACAGTTTACAGTTCATTTGTACGGTTTAAGTTCACGTTCCCCGCTCTCTCTTTAGTTTTTTCCCGTTTTTTGTTTTTGTGCTTTTAGGTTTGGTTTTCGGTCACGCAATCATTTCGGACGCAAGTTATCGATAGTTAAGCGCAGCGGAATGACAGATGACGACGAATGAAGGGGCAACAAGAACCACAACAACAATGCTAATTCAAGTGTAGATACACATGCGAAATAATAATTGTAGCACAATTGCCGCTGCAAGAAGCAATGGCGAAAACTACAAAAGCGCAACGATTGCAATTGCAATTGCGAGGCTGTTGCTTCTTCTTCTCGCGCTCCGCTCCTCTCTCGCTCACACACACTCACTCACACTAACGCACGGTAATTACAATTAAACGTAGTTTTTGTTCACAGCCGAAAAGAAACAAAGAAATCGATAGATATTGCTGGAAGTCAGGGAAAATCTCTGCGTCTTGTTAATTGCACAAGTAAAAAAAGAAAAAGGCCGCAGATGGAATGAAAAAAAGGAAAAATTGTTACAGCCGCCGAGTGGAAGAAGAAGAGGCGCACAACAGACGACGCGACGCGTCGAGAGCGGCGACAAGCGCATGAATTTTACGCTCTCTCATCAATTGCGCGTCGTAGCGCTGTGTGTGCGAGAGCAGGAGCGGAGAAAGGAGAGGGAGTGGGAGCAGGAGAAGGAGGAGAGGCAGAGTGGCCCGGCTAGAAAAACGTGTGTCCAAGCACTGACGACTGCGACTGTGTGTGCGTGCGAGTGAGTGAGAGGCGAGCGAGTGGAGTGAGGAAGAGGGAGGCAGACAGATGAGTTGACACAGCGGCCGAAGCAGAGCAAAAAGCAATCAAAGAGGAGCAAGAAGAAGAGCCGTAAATGGGGATACCGTTGCATATGTGCACTGTATCTATGTGAGTGCTACACAGGCCATCAATATCGAAATATTGATGGGGCCAGTAGCTACAGTGCAGCCTAGACAAGATGTCACAGCAAACAAAAAGGGGGAACATTTAGCTTTATAACACTGTTTTTAAACTTTAAAGAACACTTTTTAAGATTATTATAAAACTAAAAAGAACTTACATTTTACAAATGTTTCCCTCTACTTGGATTCTTAACAAGTTTAAATTTAAATCGAAACAAAGTCCCACCTGTATTTCTCACATTTCTAATATTAATGTTCATAGGAAAATTCGTAGATAAGTAAACGCTTGAACTAAACATGGCAATTAATTTAGTACATGCTTTGCACTTCGATTTCTCCCATCGCAATAATAACAAACTGTGAAGGGAGCAGCGAGAACGTCGACTGCGACGTCGGCAGAGCAACTGTAGCAGTGGCCATTATGGCAGATGGACAAAGGCGGGGGTGGTGGTGAGGGGGAGGGGATAACGCAGATTGTCTCCTGCACAGGTGCAAAATGTGCGGCGCTGCATCTCCCGAATAATGTTGGCAACACTGCAGCACCAATACATACACAAAATTTATGCTACGCGCGATACGCGAAAAAAAAAACGAAGAACACTTAAAATATTTTTTGGGAGCCAAAAGCGGGGGTAAAGAAAATGGCGAGCAGAAGCAGGAGAAAAGAAATCAAAAGAGCAGGCGATAATCAACGTGATGATTACAATCAAACAAACTTCATGATGAAGCCGAAAACACAAACGAGCATCGCACACACACACACACACATAGTTGAGGTCCATTTTTAATTGTATTAGACGGTGGCCGCTCACACTTTTGCATTTGATTTTCGATGTTCTTCGCCAATTTCGCCATTAATTAATCGCACATACACACACACTGGCCACACAGAGAAATGCACTTGGAACTGCCGAGGAAAAGCAATTGAAATTGGACATTGGCTGCTGCCTTTCAGCTTTTCTTCTTCGTCTCGCGAAATACATTTCTTTTGCTTTGCCGTTTTTCTTTTCTTTTCGTCTCGTCGCTTGTCTTCCCTGCTCTTTTCGCTCTCTCCTGCTCTGCGCTCTCTTCTTCTTTGCACATTTTTTTCCTTTCAAGTGTCTCGGATCCGAGCGCTTTTCAAATGCAATTTTCGCTTAAAATACGCCCAATTCCGACCGTATTCGGTGCTTTTTCAGTTGCCGGCAACCGGGCCAGCGTTTTTCCGCAACATTCCGCAATTTACTTGCACTCTTAGTTACCGTTTAACGCAAAATTCTAGCAGCAAATTTCAAGACAACGCGACACATCAAAGACCTCCATTTTGTTTTGTTGTGGATGTGAGAAATGTACGAAAATATCGTGATATCTGATATATCGCTGTTATCGCTACTTGTCACGTAAAACGTAAAAGAAAACGTAGGTGTTAGCAATCGTAAGAGCAACGTAAGTGTCGTAAGGAGGGAGATGGCACCAACGTAAGTATCATTAAAAGAGGGAAACAAAAAATCCCTTGCCTCAATTAGGTATGTGAAAAATATTCGAAAATATCGACATAGTTTTGTATCGCTATTATCGCACTTTTTGCGCCGCTGTCACAAAACGTAAGTGTTAGTATATAATATATCAAAATGACAATATGTCAATATTTATTAAAAAAAAATATTTATATCGTGATATTTTTCACTATATATATTAAATATCGTTATTTTATTATAATATATTATATAAGGACGCCCGCTAAAAGAAGACTGGAGGAGCCATTACAAGCCTTTGCCACGACCGCATTTTTATGTTCATTGAAATAGCAGTGTTAAAAGAAAAACATGATAAAATTCAATACAGCTTATAAATAACTTAATCCTATAATAAATAATTCATGCCATTGTAAACTATATTGGCAGGACATTTAAAGGGACACTGAACCGGTTTGCCATCCTTTCTAAGCTCAAAGGTTTTTTTCCTTTCTCCCTGAAGAAACCCAAAATCAGACGAAATCTAATGTTGCTTTTGCTTGTTTTTTGTCTCTCAGATCCGTTGTAATGTAAATGTTATTTTAAACGTTCTAGCGATCTACTAAAAAATGACTATGCTAATGAACCGTTATACAGTTTAATGAACACAGCTGGAAACAAGCTCATATGGACACAAACCAGTATAACGTATTTGTAGGTTTAGACTGGACTCAAACCTTTACGTTGCTCAAACGGCGTAACGTAAACTCGTTTGAATTTAATGAAACATTACAATCTAAGCATTTAGTATTTGATGCTACGCCACTTTCAGTCTTTTATTGGCTTGCTTGTTTTCATCTTTAACTTCAGATGCATCCTCTTCCCCGATTTCCGTCTTCAGACTCTCCATTTCATCGTCTTCCTGGCTTTTTTCGTCCTCCGAGCTATCCGAGAATACAATGGGTCCGTTGCCCTTAACAAACATGATTGTTTTGCCCAGACGACGGGACTCAGCCTTCAGAAAGAGCTGCCGGCAATGCCGATCCACTGCGTTCTTCCCTTGGTCCTCCGACAATCCGAAAATAAAGGCCCTTAAATAGAACAATAAATAATTATTGAACTGAGTGGTGTTACGGATAATATCTCACAGATTGGCCACATCGTAGGGGCCCCTCAGCTGGAATTCGTGAGTCGCTCCGCTGCTGAAGATGATGTTCTTTGACTTTCCTTTGGTGCAATAGTTCTGGGCGACCTTAATCATGTCCTTCCTGTTATTCGAGTCGACTATAGCCGGGGCGTATTTAATCTCGAAGAACATTCCCCGACGCACAGCCACCTGGTAGGCCTTTCGATTGACCAAAAGCCGGGATCCAGCCACAGGATCGAAGGTAATCAAGTCCCCGTTGAAGGCGGTGCAGCAGTGCTTGAAATAGCTATGTATATTGAAATGCGAGTTCGATTTCGAGAGGTACTTCTGCAACTTACAGTCAAGGCGGCATCCGTTTTGGGTTGGCCGGCAATTATGTTGAACTTTCGCAGATTCAGGGAGACACCCTGGAACAAATCTTAAAATATAGATGCTTTCAATGCATTTTATCAACTCACCATCGCATGCGCCACATTGACATCCACGTAGAGAATGGTGATTCTCTGCAGGATCCGCAGCTGGTCCCGGAACTCCTTGCGCAGATGCTCGACCTTGTAAGGCTCGGGAAACATCTCGGATCCCCTTTTACCGGCCTCCTTCTTGCTGTGGTCGAAACTCTGGTCGATAGCAATGGTTTTGTAGCCCACTGAAAAGAGTTCGTTGTAAACGAAAGGTCGCACCTTGGAAACCCACAGTTTTGACTCACATTCCACTAGCTCGTTGAGCAGGCCCCTCATTACCTTGTCGTCCTTGTTGTAGGGGATGCTAAAGTCGTAAAAAGGCCGTGTTTGCTCCATTTCTGGGTTTGTTTTGATTTTGAAGGAGCCCCAAAGCGTGCAACCGGTAGTGATGTCGATATCACGCGCTGTTTTTCGATAACTGTAATTCGTATCGGGGATGGTCACCCTGACCAGCCAGCTGATTCGAAAAAGAAAACAACAACAATTCGGATGGATTCCTAAGTTTGAATGGAGGAAATCAAGCACCGGAAGTTCCGGGGGAAGAACTACACACCCGAGGACGAGAAGGTCCTCCTGGAGCTCGTGGCGGAGGAGAAGGCCGTGATCCAGGACCCAAAGTCGGATGCCGGGGCGTGGTCAAGGAAGCAGCGGGTTTGGCGGGACATTGAGGAGCGGTTTTACTTGAGGACCGGAAACCGTCGGGATTACAAGGCTCTGCGGGAAAAGTTCATCACCCTGAAGCGCCAGTGCAGGGCCGATCTGAGGGAAAAGAACATTAAAGAGCCCAAAAAGGGCGCCGTCACGGAGTTGATAGTCTCCATGATCCATGCAGATTCGGAAAAGTCCTCGAAGGAAAAGCCAAAGGCGAAACAGCCAGTGGAGGACAGCTGCACGGAAATAGATACTAGTATGTATGGGGTATCAAATATTCTAATGATAAATAATTCCCCTAAGTTATTATAAAAGGATAAAACAATATTCTAAATTTAAGGCGATGATCTTTAAGTACTGAAAGGATAACCACTTTTTTAAATGTAGCAGCCCCTTCATAACCGATACCCTTCAAAAATACACTTGTAGATTTTCTATTAAAACATACAAGTCTCTTTCAAATACGCTCTAATTTCTTAATTCAACTTTATTGCAGGTAACATAAAAACCGAATTAATCGGCGATTTCATTCGAGACCGCAACTATGATGATGATAACGACGTAAATTTTTTTTTCTTTAAACCGAATCGCTTTGTAAAGTCGTTTATTATCTGTATAGGTTGGAGATTCGATCTCATTCCATGATGACACTCTTGCCGCGGAACCAGCAACTTCCAGTTCTGGCTGGTCCGAAAAAATGATGCCAGAAAGGGGGAAGGAAGCCCCAGAGGGAATAATAGAGGAGCAGAAATTCAATCTGATCCTGCTGCAACAGGAGTTTCTCAGAACAAAAACGTTGCAGTTAAAGGAAATGCATGAGATGGTCATGGAGGAAAAAAGGATAAAGCTTAACCAAGAAGTTCGAGAAGGAAAACTTCGCATAGAGCTCTTGGAGCTGGATAAGTTGGAGAGAAAAGCAAAACTTAACATTAAAACATAGTCAAATAGAAAACATAAATAAACAGTAGTTATTAAATTTTTAAATGATCATTTCCCGTTTAAATGTTCAGGTATTAAAACAAAAATCTACATTTATTAGCGATCATAGGAACAAAAACATGAGTGGCGTTTTCCTAAGGCTCGAAGTTAAGTCATCGTCAAAGCGGATCCTGTGCTTCGACAGCTGCTATCGTCGGATCGCTGTCCAGATTCTTGGACACCTCGTGGTTCTCCTCCCCTGCGTTGTGCTCCTCGAACTGCTTGGCCTTGGCCCTGCGTGACTTGATGAGGATCCCGTGGCCAGGACAGTCGCGATCGTTGATGTAGCACCTGTCTTTGCAGCAGACGCGGCACAGCTGGAACTCGCACTTGGACCCCATGGGATTGGCGCATTCCGAGCAGTATTCCAGCCGCCGTTCGTGCCGCTGGTGGATCTGGGCCTCCGTCTTGTTGGGTCTTCGCTGCCGCCTCCGCAGCTTTTTCATCCGCTTGCGGGAGATCTCGTTACCAGCATTGTCAAAGTACTGCCGCTTGGCTCTATTGGGATCCTCGGCCTCGCGCACCTTTTCGGCGATCTTCTGGCGGTGGGATTCGGGTGAGGCGCGTATGTAGGGTTGGCACAGCCAGGGCGCTAGTGGAAGCTTCTGCAAAGGTAATTTATATTATTTATTTAAGGTCGTTTTTACCTCTTTACCTCTTCCTCTGACCCAGCAGCCATTTCCTCCAGTTCGTAGGGCACCTCGCCCTTGTGGAAGGGTTCATACTTGGCCTGCACCTGTTGAACGACAGTTTGAAATTGCACTAGCTGATTGGCAGTGGCCAGGTATTGCCGCAGCTCCGAATTCTGGCGGATATTCATACTGAAAAGGGAAGAGGTCAGAGGATTCAGAAAGTTCGCTTTCAACGGAGAAACTCTTTAAGCTTACATGTGGTGGAAGAGCTTGAAGAGATGCCCTCGAATGTAGGAGCTCGGGCAGGGATGGAGCTGCACCAGCTCCAAGTACTCACTGGCCATCTGCCAAACGGGCGGCGACACTCCCTGGAAGAGGGCCGGGTTGTGTAGATTGCCCTCGGCGCTCATTACACCATCGACTCCCGTTTCTGCCAGACAGCGATGGACGTCCTCCAGGCCCAGGATGTTGCCATTGGCAATCATGGGGATCTTGATGTTCTGCCGCACCTCCTTAATGTAGTTCCAATCGGCCACGCCGGTTAGCGGACCCTTCTGTTCCCTGGTTCTCCCGTGGACAGTGAGGAGCTGACAGCCGGCAGCCTCCAGCATTTTGGCATATCTGATGGTCTTTTCGAGCTCCTCGAAGATACGAATCTTGCAGGTCACAGGTACGGATAGCTTTGCATGCAATGTGCTCACTGAAATGGCGGAAGAATAAACATTAGAATAAGATCAAATGATTGAATGTGATTTCCCACTCACCAATCTCCGTCAGCAGTTCCCACTCGTCCTGCAGAAAGGACCCGTAGTGACCCCTCTTGGCGATGGCCTGGGGGCAGCCCAAATTGATGTCCACCGCATCGCAGTGGTCCTGTGCCAGAAGGGCTGCCTCTAGAATCTGTTGGGCATCGTTGCCGCAGAACTGGATGATCAGTGGCCTGTCCTCGCTGCACGTCTGCAGGGCGTCCTTGCGATACTTGGGATCTGTGGCGAATAGGTTCGCATGGTACATGGGTGAGTAGCACAGCTCGGCGCCATATTGCCGGCACAGCATTCGCCAGGCCAGCTCGCTTTGGTCCACCATGGGTGCCACGACATAGCGCGGGGATCCCAGGGCTGAGCGGTAGAACTCGTAGCCGGTGAGCTTGCTTCGATTTTTATTGACTTCGCCGCCCTCATCGTTCACCATGGCCAATTTACTTGTAAACTGAAATAAGAAGAGGGAATTGATATTACGAAATAATCGGAACGTTGTGCAGGTCATTTTATAAGTATGTGGTTGGATTCTCTAACATTCTACGTTTCTTCACATTTTTAAGCGGGTTTCATGTTGGAATTTTCCGTTGTTCCCATGTCTTTCAAAATTGGAGCCCAAAGCTCCTCTTCTAAACTCCATAACTTCAGTTTTTGGATTCCGATTTGGACGTGGAATACCTCTATGTGTTCGTGGTTGAATTCTCTAACGTTCTGCATACAAGTTTTTCTTCGAAACGAGGGTCAAGTTTTTAACCCATTTTCATGTTGGAATTTTCCGTAGTTCCCATGACTATCAAAATTGGAAGCCAAAACTCCACTTCTAGATTCCATAACTTCCGTTTTTGGATTCCGATTTAGACGTGGGATACCTCTATGAGTTCGTGGTTGAATTCTCTTACGTTCTGCATTCAAGTTTTTCTTCGAGACGAGGCTCAAGTTTTTAACCCATTTTCGTGTTGGAATTTTCCGTAGTTCCCATGACTGTCAAAATTGGAACCCAAAACTCCACTTCTAAATTCCATAACTTCATATTTTGGATTCCGATTTGGACGTGGGATACCTCTATGAGTTCGTGGTTGAATTCTCTAATGTTCTGCATTCAAGTTTTTCTTCAAGACGAGGGTCAAGTTTTTAACCCATTTTCATGTTGGAATTTTCCGCAGTTCCCATGACTGTCAAAATTGGAGCCCAAAACTCCACTTCTAAATTCCATAACTTCATATTTTGGATTCCGATTTGGACGTGGGATACCTCTATGAGTTCGTGGTTGAATTCTCTAATGTTCTGCATTCAAGTTTTTCTTCAAGACGAGGGTCAAGTTTTTAACCCATTTTCATGTTGGAATTTCCCGTAGTTCCCATGACTATCAAAATTGAAACCCAAAACTCCACTTATAAATTCCATAACTTAAGTTTTTGGATTCCGATTTGGACGTGGAATACCTCTATGAGTTCGTGGTTGAATTCTCTTACGTCCTGCATTCAAGTTTTTCTTCAAGACGAGGGTCAAGTTTTTAACCCATTTTCATGTTGGAATTTTCCGTAGTTCCCATGACTATCAAAATTGGAACCCAAAACTCCACTTCTAAATTCCATAACTTCAGTTTTTGGATTCCGATTTAGACGTGGGATACCTCTATGAGTTCGTGGTTGAATTCTCTTACGTCCTGCATTCAAGTTTTTCTTCAAGACGAGGGTCAAGTTTTTAACCCATTTTCATGTTGGAATTTTCCGTAGTTCCCATGACTATCAAAATTGGAACCCAAAACTCCACTTCTAAATTCCATAACTTCAGTTTTTGGATTCCGATTTAGACGTGGGATACCTCTATGAGTTCGTGGTTGAATTCTCTTACGTTCTGCATTCAAGTTTTTCTTCGAGACGAGGGTCAAGTTTTTAACCCATTTTCATGTTGGAATTTTCCGTAGTTCCCATGACTATCAAAATTGGAACCCAAAACTCTACTTCTAGATTCCATAACTTCAGATTTTGGATTCCGATTTGGACGTGGGATACCTCTATGAGTTCGTGGTTGAATTCTCTAATGTTGTGCATTCAAGTTTTCCTTCAACACGAGGATCAAGTTTTTAGCCCATTTTCATGTTGGAATTTCCCGTAGTTCCCATGACTATCAAAATTGGAACCCAAAACTCCACTTTAAATTCCATAACTTCAGTTTTTGGATTCCGATTTAGACGTGGGATACCTCTATGAGTTGATGGTTAAATTCTCTAACGTTCTGCATTCAAGATTTTCTTTAAGACGACGATCAAGTTTTGAACCCATTTTCATGTTGGAATTTTCCGTAGTTCCCATGACTATCAAAATTGGAACCCAAAACTCCACTTATAAATTCCATAACTTCAGTTTTTGGATTCCGATTTAAACGTGGGATACCTCTATGAGTTCGTGTTTGAATTCTCTAACGTTCTGCATTCAAGTTTTTCTTCAAGACGAGGGTCAAGTTTTTAACCCATTTTCATGTTGGAATTTCCCGTAGTACCCATGACTATCTAAATTGGAACCCAAAACTCTAATTCTAAATTCCATAACTTCAGTTTATGGATTCCGATTTAAACGTGGGATACCTCTATGAGTTCGTGTTTGAATTCTCAAACGTTCTGCATTCAAGTTTTTCTTCAAGACGAGGGTCAAGTTTTTTACCCATTTTCATGTTGTAATTTTCCGTAGTTCCCATGACTATAAAAATTGGAACCCAAAACTCCTCTTCTAAATTCCATAACTTCAATTTTTGTATTCCGATTTAAACGTGGGATACCTCTATGAGTTCGTGTTTGAATTCTCTAACGTTCTGCATTCAAGTTTTTCTTCAAGACGACGATCAAGTTTTGAACCCATTTTCATGTTGGAATTTTCCGTAGTTCCCATGACTATCAAAATTGGAACCCAAAACTCCACTTTAAATTCCATAACTTCAGTTTTTGGATTCCGATTTAGACGTGGGATACCTCTATGAGTTGATGGTTAAATTCTCTAACGTTCTGCATTCAAGATTTTCTTTAAGACGACGATCAAGTTTTGAACCCATTTTCATGTTGGAATTTTCCGTAGTTCCCATGACTATCAAAATTGGAACCCAAAACTCCACTTCTAAATTCCATAACTTCAATTTTTGGATTCCGATTTGGACGTGGAATACCTCTATGATTTTGTGGTTGAATTTTTTAACATTCTTAGTTCAATTTTTTAAACGAGGGTCTAATTTTGAACTAAATTTTATGTTACATTTTTTGAAATTTTCCATGTGTGCAACAAAATAGTTTATTCGCAGAAAGGATTTTTTCAAACTATTCAACGGCGGTTACACTCCACATTTAAGACCTACTTTTTTATTGAGCTACTGAACTCAAGGACATAATTGATTTGAAAATTTCCCAGGTGGTAGCCAAAAACATTACTCATGCTGCAAACGGGTTGACAAATGTCCGCAATGCAGTCAAATATTGTGGCTCATTTTTTAGCAGCCACAAAGGGGGTGAATTTCCCAAGGCACCCACGCATTTTCGCAGCCAACTAATGCTAATTAGCGACGCATTAGCGGCGACTGGGAGCGGCCGAGCGACTGCGGAAAAGCCACGCACAGCTGGGCAAAGCCAAACAAA